TCCCTCGAGAAAGTACAGTATCCTCATAACTGCAATTGGTTCCAGAACCTTGTGATACTGTACATTCGTTGATGAATCAATAAATAAGTTTAAGCTTGAATTCCTTCATTTCGCTTGAAACCCTTTTTTTAACCCAAAAGCAAAGTTTGTAAGCTGAGTTATGGTTTGATAGCCAAAACAGCTCAGGCCAAAAACCAAAGTTTGTTAGCCAAATAGTTTGTAAGTCAGGGCATTGGAATACAGAAGTTTGTAAGCCTGGGTACTCGTAAGCTGAGACCCCATTGTACTTCAATGTATTTCCAATGCTGCTTGTATATTCGTCACTGCATGTTTTCGATTGTCCAGTGCAGGCATGGTCATTTTCCTGGATAATCGATGTATTATATACTGTACTGTATGTCGCAACGATATACAGTACGTATATACAGTACAGTCTTTTTACTGTATTTCGGGACATTATTTCGATGCGCAGGTTCCGGAAACGAGTGACACCTGTGTAAAAGTTTTATCATATTCACGTATTGCATAGAGTTAGATGAAGGGGTTATTTCCGAACAACGTTCTTCCCTGGATTAGGACTATTGCAGCGTTCGACACGATTCATGCCTCTGCATTTTCGGAAAGCATCAAAATTACTTTCCTTAACCAATATTAAAATTTCTATTGAAAATTAAATTCCGTGTACTGTTGTACTGTACTTCAAAAATTTCAGAAACAGTGGCCTTTCCAACTTCAGCGAACATACAGCAGAAACGCCTCTTTCCATCGGACATGCATTTCGGAGAATAACGACGAGTGATTGATCAGCTCGTAATTGGAGGATCGCCTTTGCGTCCCAACGCTAACAGTAATTAGTCTCGTCCTTAGAGAACCATGTCGACGCCAGGAAAACTGATACACATATCCAACGGCGAGGAGACAAATGAACGATCCGATCCGTGGTCCGGAAATGAGTATTTTGAAGCGCATTCATCAATTAGGCAGCGGAAAACAGTTCAGTCGCCTCTCGCATTAGGTCAGGAAGACTATGATTCTGCGGTTCACATTCATTCTGCGCACCCCTCAGTTTCGCAAAGACGTAAACAGTGACGGTGACGCGTCTGGAAGAAATGAGGGATGATTCCGAGTCTTTCCGATAACAGCCCCTGTGGGATGGTTATGGAGTAATGCAGAAAATGGGTTGAAGCCCGTCGAGGAAGCTCCTCTCGTCAGTTCGCCTCGTGTGTCCGCATTGGATGCGCATTTAAACTGCGCAGGGAAAGAAAATACGAAAGACCAGAGAATAAAAGTAATTGTAACGGACATTATTTCCCTATTTTTGTCGCAGAAAAGCGCGTGTTGATTGTACCGAATGTCTCCGCGGGTCTCCTGTGCCAATTAACCAAGTGAATGTAGTTCTCACGTGTGAGTGTAACTTTCCAGGCGTCAGTATCATTTGCTTTTGAGTGGATCCAATATAGACCTCGAAGAAAATACGGTAACACTGGCAGGAATACGTCCAACACTCGAGTATGCCAAAAAGCTGCGAACTGAACCGCTTTTCAAACAGGAATCTCTTTTTTACATTTGGGGGCCAAACGCATGATCGCAAGCTTAAATTAATGTTCGATTCAATGGCTTTTGAATCGTTTTTATTGCAAGTTTTTAGTCTTTGTGCATTGTAGCTGCTGCGGTCATTCGTTATACTGAACTTACTTCGGAAAAGAGTTTCCCAAGTGAGCAAAATATTACTCACTGCGTATGCCGCATTATTTTGTTTTTAAAGATGTGCGCCGGAAAACTTGGGTGCGACCCTTATTATTCCAAGATGCTGCAGTGACCAGAAAATGCGACCCATGCCTGAAGTCCAGTGGAGGAAAAGCCATGGAGGATATGTTGTTACCCTCATTGGGCTCATCTTGAGGCTAAACCTTTGACCAGCCCCTTATGAAATGTGTAGGAGATCCGTTTTCTGTATGTTTCACCAGCAGCTGGTCCTGTTTTTGGCCTGTCCCCAGATGGGCTCCATGATGAAATCCCGTAGGAAAAAAAATCCCGTGGCCCAAAAATCCCCTGAGGCCAAAAATCCTGTAGGCCGGAAAATCTCCCATGGTCCAAAAATCCCGTAGGTACAAAAATCTGGATGAGTACTACAAAATTATAATATTGTCTCTGGGTTACCCTTCCAACTGTCTGGAAGGAATAAAAATCTGGTGGATTCTGAAATTGTGAAAGTGCAAGGGTTTTAATTCCTTCCAAGGGTTTGGGAGGTTTAGGGATTATCTTTCTCAATAGAATCTCACCTTCACTTCCTCATCTTCTCAAAAGAAAGGTGAGGAAGCCTGGGAAAGATGTAGCTTTCATTTGGAGCCTTCATCCCTGCATTTTTTGTATATAAACGGTGTACTATTTTAATGATTTTCACAGGTCAACTTTCCCTTCTGAAGTAATAAACTTGCATCAGTTTGGGTGGAAATCTTGTAGAGTTGAAAAATTGTGGACATTTAATACATTTTTTATTTTATTTCCTATACAGTACATCATGTATTGTATATTGGATATTAAGATTGAAAATTAAATATTACTATATATAACTGCATTTAGACTTCTTTGATGATTTTGAATTGTTTAAATACCATTGCCTTCTGTAGTTTTTGAACTAGGTTTTTCTTAAATAAAATTTTCATTTTTTGGGATTTTTTTTACCTACGGAATTCTTGGACCTTTTGAGATTTTTGGGCCATCGGATTTTTGGGCCATCGGATTTTGGCTGCACAGGATCTTTGGGCTGCAGGATTTTTTCTCCCACAAGATTTTATCCTGCACACCCCCAGATGGATATTGGCCTGTCCCCAGCTTTAAGATTTGGTGGAGGGGAATGGAGAACAATGGAAAATTCCAAACAAAATCCAAAGGAAGCTCCCATTTGATTTTTGAAATATACAATAAAGGAAGGGATCATGCAATAAAAGTTATCAGAAACAGAATTAATTTTTTATTCATTTAAAACATACACACAGTAACAAGTGAGCCAAAAATTGCTGCGCCGCACTACCTTTGCTGCACCGCCAGCTCAAATCTTTCCAGATTGCTAGAAATCAAGGTCCACCCCCCCCAGGCACCTTGCCATTTTGCTGTGCCACCTTTGCTGCGCTGCCAGAAGCACTGCGCTGTCAGAAATGCCATGCTGCCAAATCAGGGTTTCCTTTGAGAACACTATGGAAGGAGATTGTTTCAGGGAGATTTGTGGCTCTAAATCAAGTATTGACTCTACTGTACTTAGTAACTCTGAATATGCTAGGTCTTAGACATATTGTGTATTAAGAGAGCGGAGCTTTTCTCCATGAGTTTGACTTTTTGAAGCACTGTGCTGCCAGAAGCACTGTGCTGCCAGAAGCACTGTGCTGCCAGAAGCGCCATACTGCTAGAAGTGACATGCTGCCAGAAGTGCTGCGTTGCCAAATCAGGGGTTTCTTTTGAGAACACTATGGAAGGAGATTTGTTTCAGGGAGATTTGAGGCTCAGAATACCGTATTTGCTCTAATAGACGCCTTCTATCTAATAGAGGCAGGTCTCTTATAAATGCCAGTCACAGAGGGGATACAAGTGAATAGCAGCTGGCTTCCAATAGTAGCCCGGTCCAAGAAGAGACCCAGCTACTATTTGGGGGGGGGGGGGGGTGTAAAGAAAAATTCCTGGAATTTTCTTGACCTGTAATAATCCTTCCCACATTTTGACCCTTCCTTCACACCTTGGTCTCAAGTATAAAGCAAAGGATTCCTTTCTCTCCCGCATTTTATGAAGCATTCCTGTCTCAGTTTCTAATGAACAATGGCAAATCCAAGTTTTTCCCCAAAATTTCATTCTCTTGTTTTCCCTTTTTTCTTCTCCTGACTTTACCAAGCAACAACTGTTGGAAATAATTGCTGGTCTCTAAAAGATGCTGGTATCTATTAAATGCCTGGGGAAAAAATTTCAAATTGCAAATAAACGCCAGGGCATTTATTGGAGCATATACGGTATACTAGGTTTTATACAAATTGTGTATTTATCCAAATTGTGTATTGAGGGAGCAGAGCTTTTTTCAGTGAGTTTGACCTTTTGGAGAAGCGCTGTACTGTCAGAAGCACTGCACTGCCAAATCAGGGTTTCCTTTGAGAACACTATGGAAGAAGATTTGTTTCAGGGAGATTTGAGGCTCTAAATCAAGCGTTGACTCTACTGTACTCAGTAAGTCAGAATATGCTAGGTTTTATACAAATTGTGTATTAAAACATTAACTGCCAAATTTCCTGCATGCCCATTTTTGTGTCATTTCCCTTCATTTACATGTAGATAGGCTGGGGACATTTTTCTAATTTTTAAATTCAAAATTTTGTCAAATATTTGAATTTTAAGTTTGATCCCCAAATGGGGCTCAAGGAAGGTCCCATCTCCTTTTATACTATTAAAAAAATCTTTTATAAATTGGAAAAAATAATTTTTGGTATTTTTTGGCTAAATTTTATTATGTTATGCTAAATGTGAGTGCAAACATATCTTCTGATCCATTTAAGATGCCAGAATTCCATTTGGAATTAAATAATATTTTTTATGATTTTCCAAATATTTTTAAATTCATTTTTTAAAGCTTCAAAATTCATTGAACAGCATCCAAGCTGTACACCAAGTAATTTGCTAGCATTTTACAACTGTTAGATGAAGTTCAAAAGCTTAGGGGTATCTTCAAAAAATTGTATCACAAAAATTATATTTATTACAATTACAGAAAACATTGATTTAAAATTAAAGAAATTTTGTTCAACATCTTTTTATACAAATTGTGTACTAATAACACATTTTAAGACAAATAAAACATTCAATATGAAACACAGTTGTTTTTAATTTCTTCCCACACAGAAAGATGCATCTAACAAAGGACACACAGAGTAACCTTGCCGCAGCGCTTTGTCACTTCCGCCACTTTGTCCACAGGTATTTTTGATGCAATGCCCCACCACTTTGTGAGGTACAGTGAGGTAGCCCCTTTGAAGTCACTCTTTGCCAGGGTTGCTGGAGGCGTTGGATTGGGAAGTGTAGGAAAGCAAAGTACAGATGGAGGGCAGCAGGAGTAAAACATGGCCGCGCGCTTGGGAACGATGGTGAGGTACCTGCTGACATCGCGAAAGCTCAATAGCAGTGAAACTTGGTGTCTAAGACTATAAGGAATACAGAATATTTTGGTCGATTCTCGATTCCATTCGTGTACCTGTGGCATTATCATTGGCATACGTTTGAGAATCTGACGACGGAAGCTTGTGATCCGCGCGGGAACTGGCTAGCTGAACTGCTGCCTCCCTATGGAGGAGAGCCGCTATGGGCGAATACGTGCATTTCGTACAAATAATTAACGGTATCCCTGTTCGCATTCAAGGTAATTCTTGTTTTCTGAAATCCTCGCTCGCGTTTCTCATGATCACTCCTTTGATACAGGTCCAGTCGGATTTGGTGGATTGTCTTCTCTAAGTTCAATTGGCTCTGGGAGTTCATCGTCGTCGAACGGTGCCTTCGCTCCGGAACTGCCGGGTTCTCGTGGTAGTCGGTGCTTCAATCTGAACGCGAGTCCCGCATCTAGTAGCACCGGAGTACCTTTGCCTGTGTATCCCGATAGCATGTTGGGGGATGATCGTGTAATGTCCTCCAGTGGTACTGCGCAGTCAGCGTGCTGTTTACCCACGTCACAAGCATCTAGTGGAGCGATTTGTAATGTAGGGGTTCCGCACACGTCCGGCTCAAGCAGTGTATATCCATCTTTGGTCCGTTCCATGGCCGGGGGTATGCCGAGTAGTGGACTCTCTGTCCAAGGACATACTCGGGGCTTATCCGGCCCCGCTGATAGCTCTGCGGCAAGTGGCGCCCTGGGCACCCACTTCCGCCATCCGTCAACTGCCCCGTTGCGGAAGCTTTCCGTCGATTTGATAAAGACGTATAAGCATATCAACCAGGTATCTATTTTCCGCATTTCCCCTTCCGTATTTGAGATTTTTTTCTACTTCGTCATGAGTGAAGTGCAGGACATTCGCAATCGATGTTCTGAATCCTGAAAGTCCTTTAGCTGTTCATGTTAACTCGCATACGTCGCGTGGTTGGCATATCACATCTTTGAATGACTCACAGTCGGGGGTTGCTTGTTCGGTTAATCTAAAGTCAAGTCGTTGCTTCTTGAATGGATGGCGTGATTCAAACAGCATGCGGTTCAGTAGTTGTACTCGTTGGAATATTTCGAACAGGTCATTCATTTCTTTTCAACTGTCGACGTGTCTTTTGGAAAAATGAACGTGCTGTCATACGCACTCATATCCAGATATTTGCAATTTGAGTTGAATTTCATGAATCATTCTTACTGCGCGCTGTACGTTCCCGCGACGGTCATAGATGGATTCATCAGTTGGTCCCCGCGACGTGTTGGGATTGAAAGTACGAGCTCGTTGATCTACGATTGTTTTGAAATTGCAAGGAACGTTTTCCGTTCGATTAATGACCGCTGTGTACGTAGGATCGAAGCTTAACGATGTATTTGATTTTTCTAGCTGGAACTCAATCAAGTTATGGGACAAACTCGTGCACAATTTTCTTCCGTCTTCCCCCCGCGGGAACTTTAAAAACTATTTTCGTTAATTACGATATTCATATCCAACAATCCGACGAGTCAAATGGTGACGTTCGAAACTGTAAAAAAATACTTGTATGTTGAATGTTTTTATAGTTCGAAGCTCTGTAATTTTTTTTCCAACTACGGGCGGTTTTTCTGACGATCATCACTCATCGGTTACATTTGTTGCACTCCAACGTTGCGCTATCCGAAGCTTCGTGCTGTTATCCGACGTGCAATTCCTCGCTGATGTAAGAAAATCTTCCCTAGGTGTATTACGCAAAGCGCCGACGAAGGGCTCAAAGAGGTCATCAAGGTGTAGATTCAGCTGTCCCCGTGGATAGCAGCAGCAGTAGTTCAAATAATGCTGCCGAAACCACGATGAACGGACTGTCGGCGATGGCTAGTGCTACGACGACGACTACGAGCACTCCAGATGGATCCCATTTGAAGAAGGAAAAGAAGATCTATAATGACGGTTTTGACGATGAGAACCACGATTATATCATCAAGGCTAACGAGAAGTTTCTCGATCGCTATGAGATTGACTCTTTAATTGGTAAAGGGTCATTTGGGCAGGTGAGGCTTCATCCAACTAATAGTTTTACTATTTTGGAATTTTTATATGAGACCCCGGAAAGTAAATTGTAAAATGCTCCTTTAAATATTGAATATTATTACATTGTTGACGATGTAGTAGTTTCGATTATCTTCGGCGTACCGTAAACTTCGCTCATCCTGACATTACTGTAATGCGTTTTGTTCCTAGTGCTGTCGATTATCGTAAACATTTCATGTATAATAATGTATTCTCTAACGAAACAAATTTTTTTGAGTGAGGAATCATGGTTTGTCGAGGAAATTTCAGAAGAAGAATTCCTTGAAGGATTAGAAACACTTTTTTGCGCTTGTTTTCGCTTTTCTGACGTATTCGACCTAGACTTTGCGCAGGAATAACTCTCCGTCGCGGAATTTCTGCTGTTTGAATGTGGAATATCGCAGCGTAAAGATATCTCTGGAAAACAAGTGGAATTCTTTGATTTTTTCTACGGTTAATTTTGAGGTCGACTAACTTTTCGAAATTGATTGGAATAAGATGATTTTTTTGGTGTGTGCATCCATTTCCACTTTCTTTAGGTTGTCAAAGCGTTTGACCTCAAGGAGCAAGTTCATGTGGCGATCAAAATTATCAAGAACAAAAAGCCGTTTCTTAATCAGGCGCAAATTGAAGTCAGGCTTTTGGAGATGATGAACAAGGCGGACTTGGACAACAAGTACTATATTGGTGTGTACCTAGGTTTTACTTTATGTCTTCGTCCCATTGATGGTCATAGCTTTTTCAATTTATTGATGAAAATTCGTGTTGAAATAATGGTTCCGTTTTTTTCAGTTCGTCTAAAAAGCAATTTTATGTGGCGAAACCACCTATGCCTGGTGTTCGAACTTCTTTCGTACAATTTGTACGATTTGCTTCGTAACACCAACTTCCGTGGAGTATCGCTGAATTTGACCCGGAAGTTCGCCCAGCAGCTGTGTACTGCGTTGCTTTTTCTTTCGTCTCCTGAACTTTCGATTATCCATTGCGATTTGAAGCCAGAAAACATCCTACTTTGTAATCCGAAACGCTCCGCCATTAAAATTGTGGATTTCGGTTCTTCATGTCAGCTAGGACAAAAGGTTTGTGACTTGAATCCGAAGCTAGCATTACACAAGAGCTGACATGTTTCCGTCGTGCAGATTTACCAGTATATCCAGTCGCGCTTCTACCGAAGTCCTGAAGTACTGTTGGGATTACCGTACGATCTGGCGATCGATATGTGGAGCCTTGGTTGCATCCTTGTAGAGATGCATACTGGAGAACCACTGTTTTCTGGTGCTAATGAGGTCAGTTTTTTCTGTCTTGTTCGGTCTCTGATGACGAATCGAGCGCTTGTCGGTGTGTGCCAGCCGGGTTGGATCTGCTGTCGCGCTTCTTTATTCTCTGCGTTATTCTCTTGAGTCGTTTTTGGCGGGCATCCAAGGGATTGGAATCCGTCTCGACGGAAGGGTGTTCGAAAGCTAGCTTTTTTTCCGCTTTCATTATCTCGTTCGCAAATCCTGTGCCTGGCTGCTGCATACTTCTTGTTCCTTTTTTTAAAATTCAACTCGGATGCCTTCGTCTGTACGCGCTTCTAGCTTGTGAATCATCCTCGTCTGCAAAATCTTCACGTGCTTCCCGTCTGGGGGGAGGGGGGGGGGGATGTCGCATGGTACTACTTCCGGTCGAGTACAAGTTCATCAGGCGCCCACCTGTTCAAGGGCAGTCAGTACTACTAACCTCATCTGAAGTGTACCATGTAACCCCGATATGACGAACAGCGAAACCTTGCCCTCATAAGGGGCATTGGTTCGATTTTGTTTCTTCAGGCATTTCGTGGTATTATTTGATATACGCACAGTACTGCACCTACATTTTGAATTTTTTTTTTCGAGGTACATAATATGCCGCTTTCAAGATTTCAGTTTTCCGGAAGTACACGTATTCCCGGATTTGTAATACGGTAAATTTCAGATCTTATGTCACGTTTTGCAAGTTAGTTTTTGCTGTAATTTCTCCGCGAGAAATGCTCCCATTACATTCATCTACTGCTCTCTGCATGTTTGTCTGGCGAGCGTGTTTCTTGAATTCGTCAGGGGAAGTTGAATCATTTGTGGATATTGGAAAAGACTAGTGTGAGTCATGCACGCGTTCATCATTCGAAGAATCCTCCCTCTGCTGAATTTTCTTGAATTTTCTTACGCTCGTGCGGTCTTGATGGGAAAGCACAAAAATGCGGCGATGCGTTGAATTATGAATTGTCGAGATATGCAGCTTATTTGCCTATCACTACATAGTATTTCGACTCCCTGACGTTTCAAGTACAGTACTGTAAGAGAAAAACGATGTCCGTAACCGGCCATCTCGTCAGGGATAAAAAAAAATTTGATTCTTGGAATCGAAAGAATTGCTTGTATCAGCATTTCGAAGGGCGTGTGAATGTTTGTGCGAGTGGTACGCCAGGTTGATAAACCCTTCATGAAAAGTGATGCCAGTTTCTAAAATAGAATCCCCCATGATTTCCCGTAACGCCTGAAGAAAGCGATCATATTATCTCGGGCCAAATGGGTTTGAGAGTATTGAGACATCGCGAAGAATGTATAATTTCCTAGAAGCTTTAGAAATTTTCGCGTCTACAAATCTGTTGCTGGGACTAGCTTCCAAGCCCCTTTTTTCCTTGTCCTCGTTCTGTTTTGAGACCGTCTGGATTTTCCGTCTCGCTTCTGCGTCTGACTTGAGCGTCGGGTCAGGTTTTTAACTTGGGTTCTTTCTTCTGGCAGAGAAATCTGGTTCTCTCGCTTAGTCGTGAAGGAATATCTGAGACGCGCGTTATTGTCTTTGTTTGCAGTAATTGTGTGAAAAGACTAACATTGATGATTTTTTTAGGTTGATCAAATGAACAAGATTGTCGAGGTGCTCGGTATGCCGCCGAAACATTTGCTGGACCAAGCCCAGAAGACCCGCAAATATTTCGTGCGCTTGCCGGATGGTACGTATGTGCTGAAACGAGTCTCGCAAAAGGAAGGCGGCACGGCGGTGTGCTGCTCTTCAGCATCCTCGTCATCCCTCGGATCCGGCGCGACTAAGAAGTATAAGCCGCCAGGTACTCGTCGACTGCATGACGTTCTTGGAGTAGAAAGTGGTGGTCCAGGGGAACGACGACTCGGTGAACCAGGACATGGTGTGCCGGACTACTTGAAATTCAAGGACCTCATCCTTCGAATGCTGGAATATGATCCGAAACTGCGAGTCACGCCGTACTACGCGTTGCAGCACAACTTCTTCAAGCGGACTACGGACGAAAGCACGAACACAAACGTGGGTTCTGCGCAGGGCTCTGGAGGCGGAACGAGCCACGTGGCTTCGACTTCGGGAAGCCACATGGAGCAGCTGTCGAACGCAGTCGCACAAGTGTCTGCCGCCGGCGTCACGAGTATGATTGGTTCGTCGGCGTTGCCGACTGTACCAGGTACAGCAGCTAACATGATTTTGTCCGAAGTCTACGATTACGCCAAAGTTCCGCGTCTTCAGGCCTTGTCCGCCGTTAATTTTTCATGGAATTCTGCGAGCCGGTCGTACTCCGTTTCCACGAATTCTTTAAACTCCGTGTTGAGGGCTGAGATGGATTCCGACGAGTAGGGCTCGCTCGATTGCAGTTCTTACAAAAAAAAAAAAAAAAAAAGATCTGATGATACTGAAGACTTTCTTTCTAATGATGTACTGTTGGAGGATACCGTTGATGCGTCTTAGTGGGAGAAATATCCCTGAATGCCTCTGAAACCGCAAAGTTACCGGAGTCGGAATTCGTTCCAACCCGTCAGAGAATTCATGAGCGAACAGCGCGCACATCCGAAGTATAATGAAAACATCTCGCATTTTGCTTTTGCTGGAAGGTCAATCAACAGAAAATTTACCTAAGGTTTTCTTGCGAATGAACGCGCTTCATTTGGCGATTCCCTGACTTGGTAGTGAGCCGCGTCAGTTGAAATCATCCTATACCTTTAAAATACTAGACCATTCTATTTTATTCAATTGACGAGGTTTCAAGATATCTGAGGATTCCAGGAGCGAAGGAGTGATGTTGCCGATTGATTTTAATTTCCTTGATGTGATGTGAGTCTGCGGACTTCGTCTCTTTTGAAACTTTCCCAAAAATTGTTGGCGAGTATTTTAGAGGTGTTCAGCCGACAAACACTTATTTTGGAATCACTTGGGCATGAGATCCTTTTTGAGATCTCGCTTTGCTCTATATTCTCAATCAAAAATTTTTACTCCGGAGACTTGAGGCTGATCTTGTTCAATGAAAATTTGATGTGTATTTCAAATTTATGTAGTCTGATGAATCTTGCAGAAGTACGAGTAAGACGTAATTCCTTTCGCGTGAATGCAATGCTTCGAATCATTCAATTGAAATGTCGTAAGCATTAATTGAACGAGCGTCCCTGGGTACAAGTTGGGAGTATTTTGGTGTGCGCATAGGTGATGAGTTATGAATACCATATTTTCAGCATTACCGCCGAAACACGATTTGATCAAATGTAAGGTTCCATTCCTGTCATCACCTGGTGTGTAGCAATTGAAGCTAGTTAGTTTTCCATGTTGACGGACTTCTGTCGTACAGATAACGCTTCATGTGAAGTGAACGTGGTCAGCTATGCTTTTTAATCAATCAGTTTTTTGTTGAAATACAAGACATAACACTTCGTGTACTTCCGAATTGAGAAGTTTTAGAGTATAAGTTGCGAGCCCTTTAAGTCGGAACCGTGGGGAGGAATACGACAAGTGCCTCTTACTATTTTTGGGGATCTTCAAATGAGCGGAGCTTGTGCATGAAAAAGTATGCATTGTTCTCTGTTCCGATGGTGGAGAAGTTTCCTTTTTTCTTTTCCAGTGTCGAACGAATTTTTGCGATGGTTTAGTGCCATTCGCTTAGAGGAGTAGTGAGTTTTATATAGAATGATGGTGAATGCGGTCGTTGGAATGGTTATGAACGTGGTTGCGGATTTTTTGTATAAGTTCGAATTCGTGCTGTTTCTCTTGCCTTTTTTCCCGTTCGTTTTGAGTGAAGAAGTAGTGCGATTGGGTGGGTGCATTTTTTATTTATTTTTTTGCCCATGTGTTCTACTTTCCGGGAAATTCGGAAATATGATCGGTTGCTCGTTATTGCTTTCTCGGCGTCGCTCTCTTTTCTCATTCCTTTGACTGTCGACAATCCTCGTTCTTCTTGATTTTCAATTTTCCAGCGGATGTATAGTTGGATTTTTGAAGGTTTCCAGTGTTTCTCTGATTAACTGCATTGATGGGATATGGTAATTCGGCGGAAGTAGGGTTAAATTTGGTGCGAACGTCCATTCTTAAGACGAACACTGACACTCTGGTGCCTTCTTAAATTCAAAAGAATGCGATCCGAGTATTCATTTTATTTCTAAGATTTCTATTGTGCTGAGTAGAACTATAAAAAATGTTCTGCACGTGGAATGAATTCATAGTTTTCCGGTCTTGGTGGTTGAAGTGTCCTTCCTCGCTAAATCATTTTACTTTACATACATATGCTCGTCCACAGCATGATTGCCGCAGCATCGCATAATATGAGAGCATTAATCTTCATCACGCAAGCAAATTTTCATCTGAAGTTCACTTCAGCTTGCGTGCCACTTGAACTGAAACATCTCAGATATACCGTAGAGCAGGGATTTGTTGAGTGCGACCAATATGAATTCTCATGACCCTGAACAAAATTTTGCATACTCTTTTCATGTTTCTTGATATGGTGGATTATTGATGGATTCATGCTAAAAACTGAATGATTTATTTCGGTTTTTGTGTAAAATCTCTTCTCTCTTCATCCGCAAAAATGTTCCAATACTATGTTTTGTGCAGATAGCAGTACAGTATTCAAACAAGAAAAATTCCGACTGCAACACGGTGAAGGCTGGTTTTAGGTTACTTGATGAGATTTGTTTGACAATTCCTACGTAGGTATGTACGAAGTCATGCTAGTTTTTTCGGCACGTGTGGTTTGCATGGTGTTGAAAATTCCTTCGTGAGGTTGCTTCGTCACTCTCGTACTACTGGATCCTGGAAACTCTTCGAAACCTTTACAAAAATAATGACCGGTACTTGGATTCTCTTCCTTCGAAAACAGATAGTTTATTTTTTTAGAAAAATAACGCATAAGCTGTGCATGGACAAACCGCGTATTCGTAATATTTTTTCAGTAAATCAAGGACGACCTTACTTGATTAGATCGTCGGCGGACAGGTCGACGCCCCTGTGGCATACGAACACGAGGGTGGTCGAGAATCTCTATGAAGTCTTCCACGTAATCGACAAGGACTTTGAGAGACATGACTGTTCGGACGAAAATACTTTAATTTAATTGTTGCCGGAAGCTGATTTTGTGATTGCTGTGGTGCCTCATATATCGATCGAAAACCCACCTTTCCCTCAAAGGATGACTCATAGTCCAGTTCTGCTCAGTCCTTCAGCGTTGCCCCGCGTCAAGTTCTGGGCAAATGTATTAATTCGAATTTCAATCATCCGGAGGTACTAGAGAAATAAGCACAACTGTCCTGGATCGTTCTACGTTATTTTCTGCGTTTTCTTTTCTCTTTCTAATTATTAAATTGAGATGGGTTCTAAGTGTAGGAATTATTTGATTCTCTTCATGTTTTTGTTCTGAGTGCCTCTTTTTTCCATACTTATGCCTGGGAAACCCCGTTACAAACAGCGAACCGATCATTGTTGGGTGTCTATGGGTCACCAGTGTATTCAAGTTTCAAGTCGGCGAGTATACGATTTCTTTTACAATGATTTTGTGATGGTCACGTACGCGAGCGTCGCAGCCGTAGAAGTGACACGGTTTGTGCTTACAGGCGGCAGAAGTAGTGTTGGAAGCAGCGGAGGATCGGGAAGGAGTCATCAGCATCACGGCTCCGGCGCTCTAGGGTCTTCTGCGATGGACTGTGATGCCTCCGGCGTGAACCGGAATGTAGGACCTGGACTTCATTCCCATCTGCATTCTCACGCCCACCAGCTCGCCTTAGGCACTCTGACGTCCTCGCATCCGCACGCGCACTCACATCCGGTCAGTAACCCGATGCCACATTCCCACCAGCACCCACATCCTCTCGTTGCGCCGCTGCCGCATACTCACTCCCACTTGCATCACGTGCCGCATGCGCACGGCTACTCATATGCCCACGGACATGCCGAGACTCTGCTCCGTGAGGAATCCAGTTGCTCAACCGGCGAGGTGACGAGCTGGCCCGCTGATTCCGGGATTACTGTGCTGGATTCTCGTGACGCGGCGCAGGACGGATCACTGAATTTGGTTGTGATGCCCCGGCTGCCGGTCGTGCCTAACCGGGAAGGACTCTGCGGCGTCCCGCCGCCACCTCCCCACTCCACGCCCGGTTCTACGAGCAGTGGGCGTGGTGGTTCCAGTGTGGAGCTGGTACCGTCGCCGTCTTTCTCGTCCATGGAGTGGACACCAGCGTCTGCGGGCTCGCACTCCGGCGTTGCAGTCAACGATTGGAGCACCCGCTGTCCTGCTCCGAAAGACCGAGGGGGGGAGAAAGTCATGAGTATATGTTCGCATCATAGTTCGCGCGTTGTATCGCAGTGAGCTGAGTTAGACGCTTTTTTTCTGGAATGGAGTAAGGGTTCAAACGTGGTTCTCAACCGCTCCCACGTAGCTCTTCTTGGGGCACTGCAGCAACTCGATGAATTGTCCGATGGACAATTCATCGAGCGAGTTTCTGACGTCACCAGTACCACGAAACGCCATCCCCGTCCCCTGACGCGTTTTCTATCCCGAGAAATCCTGTGATGTGCGGAACGATGTGTGTCCAGGGCTTTTAACGTGGAAGGTCACAAGAACGAGGCATCGCGAATCCCTCTACCGCTTAACGAATTTCATACTTAACTGTCGTCTGTTCGTCCGCGAACTCTCCGGGAGGAGAATGTTCGTATCTTGGGCGTTTTCCGTGCTATTCGCAGGAGTCGATGCAATCGAATATGTACTCCCTTCGCGAAATTCATTGAAGTGTCCGTTAGACCCGGAGTAGGAACGTTGTGGACCAACTGGTTATTTTTTATGAGGAAAGTGGTCTGCGTAATTGTTGTGTTCAGGAGAGATATTGACTGTATTATGTTCGTCAGCTCTATCGGTTATATGTGAGTTGGAAGATTGTGGGTTCGGATTTTTTAGAGCGAGCATTGAAGGTCGATTCAGATACGGGAATATTTTTGTTTTTGCTATGCGTTCGCGGTTTTTGAAGTGGCGCTGCGAAGTTTCTTCCGCATGTTGCCGAAAGCTCTTAATGAAGTTGAGGGTGCGCAATATGTTCCCTTTACGTCCTCGAGGGCTGATCTAGCCTACCATATCCCTGGATTATTTTGTAATCTGCGGACGCGCTTGATTCTGAACAGCGGGATTTTTTAGTACTTCGCGGCTTGCTGAGAAGATCGGGAATTCCGTACAGATGAGGTATAAGTTCCTTGCTCCGGTCGTGCGAATCGTGCTTGGGTGGGGAATTTGTGAATATATTTTGCGGATTTGATTGTGATAATCATCTGTTTTCTTACTTCATGGCATGGAAAGTTTTGATTGCCCCGAACCCGCTCTCTCCCCCGAATATCGTTGAGGATCATGTCATAAGACAAGTACTGCCACCCATTCCGGTGAGAATTTATAAATAAGCTCATCCTTGTACATGGCCTTCTGCGAATGTTCCCTGGTTGTGTTGAATTGCTTTTGTATTTCAATTTACTGTACTGGCGTATGATGGCTTTTATTTATTTAAGTTAGTCGCTTTGAATTTCAGGAGGTTGGGAACGTGGGTGGGAGGGGAAGCTTATGTGTTCCTAGTGGATTTTATTGTTGGATTCAATTGACTACGTTGAGCAGGTGTTTTGCCAATAATCTGTTCGCGTGTTTTGTGTTTTTCGTTTTTTTTTTTTTTCAATCTGATCAAGAACTGTATACCCCATTTCAGCGTCATGCGGGGCTGTATAATTTTTCTGCGTATCCCTTGCCAATTTGTGTTCCTCGAGCGCAATCCGATATACGTACGTTCAACATTCGGAAGTGTTTGTACCTTTGTTTAGATTTGCATAGTTGAACGGTTTTTCCTTTGTGGCCACATTTGCGACATCGATAATAGACTACTAGATTTATCAGTTTCGGGTATTCTGAACATAATTGGTTTCCGGATCATCGATGCTGGAATGGTATTTGCATTGAGGCAAGGGATGCGGAAAAATGCGGATTGCTCGCGTGTCGTGACGCTCGTAGCTACAGACTCCCAATCGCGATTTTTTATTTCGGTGAGAAACTGGTTGAAAGAATCTGCGTAGGCGATTTTTTGCCCGTGCCACAAATCCTGGTATCATCGGATGTATGATCTGCTTGTTCTGCTTCGTCTTGGCGCGTTCCGTGTCATGAGCAGATGCATTTTGCGCTTTGATTCAATGAACTCTTGGTGCAGAATTAAAATTGCTGAAAGTTATACGGGCGAGCCGGTAGTTGAGCCGAAATCGTTGCAAGAATGAAGGCAAAAATGTTAGGCTAGTACTTCGCGTCGAGGTTATCCGGTGATCCTTTTCAGAGCATGTTCTCCAGGAAGGAAAATGATGTGTAGAGCAAAAAAGAGAAGATTCCTGTGTTGTAAGGGAGGACTGACAAATTAGCTTCTTGGTCTTCAAAAGATATTAGTTGTCAGTGCCCGTCGTGCGATTTTTTTTCCTTTTTTTTCGGGCTCTGATCCTATCAACGGACGCTTGCGATCCCGGGTTCGTGCTTTCATGTGACTGGTGATCCCGCGTTGCTAGAGAGAAGGCGGAATTCTTTCGATTGTCTAATGTAAGACCGGAATTAGCGCTACGGATGAATGTTATATGTGAACTCGCTTTGAAAGATGAGAGCAAATTTTCTCCGGAGCACCCAGCAAATAATTGGGCGTTAGGAATGGAAACCATGTTTCGTGCAGGAATTTTTTTCTTTATAGCCATCAGAGATAACCAGATTTCCCATGAACGTTTTTGGAGCATCTCATTAACTGTCATTTCATACATGCGAATCTGAGATGCCTTCGTCCGCAGTCCAAGGAAAATTGGGAATTATTGTTGTTAAAATCGGAGAACGGTCTTCTTCTGTAGTAAAAATAAAATATATTTTGTTCACCAAGCCGAAACTAACTTTTAGGTAAAAATAGAAGCGGCCTCATTTTAATCACTCCGAAGTGTCCGAACTACCTGAAGTGATGTCTGTCTGAAAAAAGATAGTTGCTGGAATCATATGGAGATAGACCCAAGTTTTAACGTTTCTCTAAAAAAAAAAAAACGACGATGCCCCAACAGCCATTACTACATGTTACATTTACCACGTTCTAAAGACTTGAAGCTCTAGCATTTTCCATAATTAATCATGGGCGTTCCTATTGTTATCCTATTTCCTGAGAAATACAAGAATCGGTGAGTCTTAAATAAATTCTTACTCTTACGTCTAACAGCAAGTTTATTACCACAAGTTTATTACCAACCTCGAAACTTGGGATAACAAATTCTATCCTGGTTTTCTATTTGTTGTCTTCCGCGTGCTTTGCGGGCCAAAAGGATTTTTAGTAGTTAAATAAGTAGATACCAGGATCTCCACTCAGAGGCAAGCAATAAATGTATTTCGGTGCTCAAACAGTCCGCGAGTAAGCCAGGACACGAATGCTGACGAATAGAATGCAGCACATCAGATTTAAAGGTGGGCAGCCAGCAGGTTATGCAACTTGCTGGCTGACCCCAAAAACAATAGTACACACACACGCATATTCGCGAGAGGACAGCAGGCTGGTCAGCTAGCTGGCCTCGAGGCAGGCGCGCGTGACGGGCATGTGCATTTTATGCATGCGCCCTATTCCAGCATTTCTAAGCTCGGGCTTCAGAAAGAAGAAAAATGGAATAAGAGAGGAAGCGGCGCACGGGAAATAACAAGAGAGAAAGAGTCAGCGTATGCTGCTCATAAAATTCAAATTCTGGATCACAAATCACCCTGCACAAAAAGAAAAACCAAAGCTCCCGCGTTCAAGTTCATCGAGAGTCAATTAGTCTGTGTGGCACGTTTCCTGTCGGGAAACATGAGGAAATGCATGAAACATGCATATCTAGACCCCTGCTGCTGGTATGCCAGCACAAGATGACAACACTGCTGTGAGATGTCAGTGTGAGGTTGACTTTCAAGATCTCAACCTCCTCAGTTAGGTCTGCACTCTGGTAGGTGATTGATCTGTGATCTGATTGATCAGTTTTTTGTTCTCTTGTTTCTCCGCACTATTCTTCGTCTCTTTTAGTTTGAGTGTTTAGTAAATGTGTTTAAGCCCTTTTTTAGCATTCCTTTGCGGTTTTTCGGGTTTTGAAGCGCTAATTTCACGAGACGCTACGCACGCGACGCTATCAGCAATATTGGAAATTCGCGGTTTTTGTTCGTAAAAATCAACAAAAATAAGTTCTTCCCCCAACTTTTAACGCTCGTTTCTTTGTTTGTAGGCATAAAAGAAAAGATTTGTGCGAAAAAATCGCGGAAGAGCCGTCGAAAAATCTCGCCATGTTGTTTAATAAGGCAAGTCCCTTAGACAAATTTCCAATTTTGCAGTAAACGTAAAAATTCACTATTTTCCAGTTCGGGTTGCTGTGTTGGTGTCTCCTGAGTGTGAGTCATCCGGTTTTGGGCAGGTGTGGCATCCAAGATGGCGCCTTTGTCTGCTCAAACGTCTGTGATGAGGACATTTCGGACTCGGAGGCTTTTGGTTTCGCATTGGACTTTTTAGGGTGTGTTTTGGATCTCAACTGCGTGCGGTTTTATGGTCTTTCGGTATGTTGTTGATAGATGTCGCTGGTTGGCCAGTGGAAGTAATGTTTTTTGGATTTTTCTCAGAGTGTTAAGCTCTATGCTCAGACCCGCTGCATCGGTAAGGTGACGGAAGCAATTTGCAGGGTTGTCTCTCCCTGGGAATTGTGCGGCAGTGTTGCGGATAAGAACCCAGCAGAGGTTTTCTGGACCCGCACTTCAACTCTTCTGACGGACACCATGTCTGTTTCAGGAACATTGACGGGTTTGAAAGTTGAGGTTTCCACCACAGGTGAATTAAATGTAAATTAATCTATTGCTCGGAAAGAATTAAGATGAAACCTATTTTCCAGAGCTGACCATAAGACAAACAACGTTTTCAATTCCTGTGGTGCCTGAAGTCGAGAAGACTTTGGAAAAACCAAATGCGGTGACGGTGGGTTATTCCCCCATTCTAACCGCTTTAACCACGGTATCTGAAACCCCCACGAATCCAACTAATGTTTCCGTGACTTTTGGGAATGGTACGGCCAAGGTTACGGCGGAAGTTTCTAACGCTGTAATTTTGGATTGGGTTTCTGCTACCTTTAGTGGTTTGGGAATGACTGCTTTGGGACTCCTTAGTGCCTTAGGGTTGTACTGCCTTAGGAAGAAGGTACGTTGGCTGTTCTTTTTCCCAATAAGATTTCTACTAAATGGTACCCTTGTTCCTTCTTTCTGTAACTAACAGTGCTGTAAGGCCAAAAAGAAAAATACTAATAAGAAACCGGAAGAAATTGAGCTCTTCAAAGTAAAATTGACAATAATAAATGAAAACTTTGATGACGTTTATGGGGAGAGTTTCCCACAATTTCAATTTTGGATAAGATGAATAAGAAACCGGAAGAAATTGAGCTCTTCAGAGGAAAATTGAGAATAATAAATGACAACTTTGATGACTTTTATGGGGAGAGTTTCCCACAATTTCAACAAAATTTTGCATCAATTAGAGCTCGATCTCCCAGGGTTTCCACTTTTAAACTGGGTTAGTAAGCATGCGGCTTTTAGTTTTGCTTGGGCGTTTCGTGCTATTTTTGTATCTTTTTTAGCCCTGGTTGCGCCGGGCTCTTTTAGCCTGGAGGACCCGGAGGACAAGATCAATTCTGCGCCATCTGGTGTTCAAAACGAGGGCAGAGCTGGAGAGGTCATTGCCATCGTCCATTGAAAACACGATTTTGGACCCGGTTTTTGATTTTGTTGAAGCATTTGGCGCAATATTAAACGAAAGCTTTGATTCCGACTATGTTTCGGTTAGTGGCGGTTGAATGCATTCGCGAGCTTATTTAGGCTTTTGTACAAGCTAGGAAACGGCAAATAAGAGAGGCTGTTGCTTGTAACTGGTTTATTTTCATTGTTTCTTTTTCAAGCGGACAATGACAACACACCAGTAGTTGTATTCATTTTCAGCCTAGGATAAGTACAGTCAAACCCCGTTAAACCGCCAACGTTTGTGCAGCAGAGTTTTGGCGGTTTAACGGGGTTGGCGGTTTAACGAGGGAAGTGTTTTTAAAAAATAAAAAAAAAACGTTTCAACCTCTATCCCTCCCCATCCTGCTTTTGGTGAAGATGACTCTTCATTCTTTGTTTTGTGGCAACATAAATCTCTCATTCTTTGCATCTTTAAATGGTACAAATAGTTTCAATCATGACTTTCAGCTTTCAGGAGGATATTTTTCAAACTTAGGAATGATTTTTGGTGTATGCAGCTGGATTACATAATTATTCTGTTTTGTCTCACTAGCAAAATTCACAAGAATAAAGCCATCACATACAAACATATCAGACAAAATTTTACTTGAATTAAAAAATTTATAATTTCATTACTGTATTTTCAAATTTGTTTTGAATTTCTATTCCTGAATGTCTTGTGGTTTGCATGTTTCTACAAGCCTCCTCTTCATTTGGTTATTTTTTCATGCTTGGTTCCTTCAGGTCATCTAAACAAATTTCAGGAAAGACTCATGTTGAGGTTTCAGTCAAAAGAAATTTAAAAAAAGAAGCACACATTTATTGAATCCATTCTAAATTACCCTAAAATGACCTAAATTAACCCACCCTGAAATAACCAACTTTGAAGAACTACTCATCATCCTGAAACAATTAAAAAAAAATTTATGGCAGTTTAAGGAATATTGCTTGGGAGGTGGATGTCCCCCAAGAAGCACAGAATGAAGAAATTTGGGACCTGGAGAATGTGTGGGGATGGATACCAGGTGGATAAATTTGTAAAGTCTGGACAAAATGAGTGCAAGAGACATTAATAAAAGGACTTAATAGGAAATTGAATCTTGAGAAATATTACCCAGAAAAATAAAGCCTTGAAGAGAGGATGAAAAGAAATTGGCGGTTTATGGGGGTAAAAAACAGTGCCAAAATCCTTTTTGTTTGGCAGAAAACTTTGGCGGTTGGCGGATGGCGGTTAAACGGGGTTATCCCATCCCTTCAAGCTTGGGAAGATTTGTTCACCACAAAAAAGTGGCGGGAAGCGAGGGTGGCGGTTAATCGGGGGGCGGTTTAACGGGGTTCAACTGTACTTGGCTTGGGGGCAACGCAAACAGGTGTATTAGTAGGAACAAGTTCGATCGTAGCACCCACATCATGCATATCAATTGCCTCTAAGCGCCTTCTTCATTTAATTACATACCTCACCTTGGCAATACAAAAATACAGGATAAACGCCAAGATAAGGGTTAATAATATGATTAATATAATAAGATAAATGTACCCATTGTCTCGAAAATGAACTTGTAAAGCGCTAATGCCTTCAATGATGTTTTTATAGTTGGAATAACAGCGGGAATCTCATTGACCGCATTAATTTCAATATTTTCCAACTTGGGCGTATGATCTTTAAAAGGCCCATTGACAATTGTATAGTGACAATTTTCCTTAAATTGAATGATGCCTGAATAGGGCATTTCGTATGAATTTTCAGTTGCAGTGGTCTGCTTTTCTTCTGACCCTGCACAATATTGTGTAATTCTACCTTTGTTGTTGTCAATAAAAGCAAAGTTGTCTCTGTCTAATTGAACCACAAAATTGTCAGGGATACTGGTTGCTACAAGTGGGCATTTAGCTTTAATTGTAGATTCTAAATCACCACCTTGGATAGCTTGTAAACACGGATCAGCTGGGCAAATAGGAGGTTGACGGAAACGACAAATTCTACACTCTGCATGGCCAGTTTGTGGTAAGCAAATTGGCATCTCTTCTGAATTTAATGCAAAAAACTTAGACTTTTGAGACAATAGGTAGGGTTGCGAAATATTCACCTTCATCCATTTTGGCGTACCCATGTACGTGTCCTCTGCAATTGGCACATTAGGCACCCTTGACAGTTCATAACAACCACTGGCTCTCAAAATGGGTACAATAATGGTGATTCTAAAGAAGCACTTTTGTTCTAAAATACCCTTTTCGTCACAATTTTCGGCTGTTCCTAAAGACAAGGGATGCGATCTTAATATTGTCATTAACTCTTGAGTTTGAAATTGAGTTGACGAAGGTTTGCTTTCTGCGTCTATGAGTTTTGTCAGAGATTTTTCCAATTCATCATTTGAAATTAGAGTAGTAGGAAATTGAAATCTATGCAGCAAATCGATTTCTCAGATCATGGAAGTGATGATATAGTTAGGGTAGAGGACTAGTGAAGGTTAATCAATCTCTTATAGTAGTCAGTGAACAGACTATGATCTACGAATATATGTGTATCTAATCCCCTAGACCAATTATTATCATTATTGGGGGCTCGATTTTCAAAATATAAAACTTTTTCCATGAAAAAGAAAGCTTTGTCTAAATAATTCTTGATTCTCATGAAAGATTTTATACTTTCGCGTTTATGAAATTTTGTTAGCTCACTGATAATTTCGTGTTGATTCAATTTTCCTTCGATTTCCATCAAAATCCATCGATTTACCGCAATAAAAACAACGGAAATGGATACGAAACATCCCTTTATGTCTCCGGTTGATTTTATAATTATTAATGCAGTTGATGAATTTAATGGCTAACGGACGATTCAACCTTTTCTCTCTCTTTTTCGACTCATTTTCTTTTCCAAATATCATTTCATCATTTCATCACTTTTCATCATTTATTTTACCTTTTCATCATTTATGTCTTAATGATGTTTTGAGTTAGGGTAGAGGACTAGTGAAGGTTAATCAATCTCTTGTAGTAGTCAGTGAACAGACTATGATCTAAGAATATATGTGTATCTAATCCCCTAGACCAATTATTATCATTATTGGGGGCTCGTCCGAATTGGACTGTTATCCCTCTCACTGTTACATGAGCTACAAACTGCTCACACTCGACATACTTCAAAACATTGCTCGTCGCTACAACATCACACCCACTGGCCGAAAACAGGACCTCATTGCCCGTCTTTGCGCCTTTGACATGACTGACCCAGATGCACCTACAATCCTGCCACATACAACACTGGCCTCAGTCTGGGCCCTTTATGAAGCTCTGGCGTAGTTGGAAAAAAATCTACCGGTCGTGTAGGCGATATGACGACTGTACTGAGAACGTGTCTTTGAGGTGGATGACCGGGTCCATGGACCAGACTGAGGACAATTACGTGAACGTCAACGACAGCCCCAGCACAGCATGGCCAGGGTTGAACTTCGTCTTGCAAAACAACCCTCGGAGGAACTTATTGAGGACTTTTTGGAACGTGCCAAAGCCCATTTCCTGCTGTGCCAACCTACAGACATGGATGCAATCAATCTTCTCATGAATGCAGCTCAACCACCAGTTGCACGTTTCGTTTCCACACAACTCAATGCAGGTACAACCACTCTTAACACCATGCTCCAAAACGTCCAGCTACGCTTTGCACCTAATCGTTTTGAATACTACGAGAAACTTTTCAAGTACCGTATGACTCCCACCACATCCATCCTGGATGCTGCTCATGACCTCCGCCGCTTACTCTTGGGCTACCTCCCCATCCCTCCTGAAAACCTCCAGCAACATGACACCATCCTCACAGCCCTGGTCGTTGGACGCCTCACCGACATCATTCCCAGCCATGTTGCCACCCGTCTCAAGTCTGACATCCTTGACCGAGGCACCCTCTCCTGGGATGAAACTCTGCAGCTGGCTAACAACCTGATGGTCACCCCTCCTCGGCTACCAACCATCCACCCTAGCCGAACTCCACGCAACCAGCTTCATTGCAAGATCCATGGCTCCCGTGGACATTCTGATGCTCAATGCTATCAACAAACCAAAGGTGGCCGTCCCACAGATAAAACCAGCCTGCAATGTTTCCAGTGCTTCCAAACCGGTCACAGTGCCTGTGACTGTCCTCTCAAGTCCAAACCGGGAAACGACAAAACCGGGTTGGATTAATGGGGTCCAACCTTGGTACATCCATTCACCCCATTCCACTTACTGGCCCTGACAACCAATGCTACCATGCTCATGTGGACACACAGGCTACCTTGTCCGCTGTGCCACCTCACATTGCCCAGCGGTGGGCTTCTGCAGGTTCCTGTCGTAAGAAATGCACACAAACTGGTCACCTTGCCAATGGAACATCCTTCACCACCACTGAGACCATCACAGCAAACTTGCGGACTGAGCTTGGCGATCAGCTGGTTGTCACCTTTGCCGTGATGGCAACCCCAAATGCCATGATCATTCTGGGCCTACCTGCTCTACAACAACTCCCTCTTGTCATCAAATACGCAGGCCGCCCCATTTTTGAGGGATGTCCACCTGTCCAAGTTGTTGCTGAACCACCGTCTCTTGCGGTGGGTGATGGCATCCATTTTGCTGCTGGTACACCGGAACAGCAGGATGCTGTCCGTCACCTGCTCCTCAAACTCAAAGACAACATGTTTGAGTGGTCTGGCAAATTTGGCCTCTTTCACGATTTTGTTGAGGACATCCCCCTCACTTCCATGGCTCCTGTCCAGGTTAAGCCATACCGTGTGCCCGTTGGCCTCCACCTGCCATTCAAGGAAATTCTTGATGAGTACCTTCGCCGTCACATTATTGAACCAGCATCTTCCCCATATTCCGCTCCAGCTTTTCTAGTTCCAAAGCATGGCTCCTCTCCCACTGCCACAGCCTCCAAAAAATACCGCCTGTGCTGTGACTATCGTCGCATCAACCTCATCACTGAGGATGTCATGTTCCCAGTTTTTGATGTCCAACAACTTTTGGATGCCTTGGGTTCAACCAACGAATTTTTTGCCACTGTGGATCTGCGCATGGGATATCATCATATCCCCCTCAGTGCTGCTGGGAAACAAAAAACAGCCTTCAGCACCCCCATGGGCCAATTTCAGTTCCGCGTGCTACCTTTTGGCATGAAGCGATCTCCCCGTGTTTTCCAACGTGCACTGCACTTGATCCTTGGTGACCTTGTCTGGAAGGCCTGCCTGGTCTACCTTGATGATATAATCATCTTTGGCTCAACTTTTGATACCTTTCTGGCTAACTTGGAGGCCGTCCTTACAAAGTTGGCACAGGCTGGGGCCTCCATCAGCCTTGATAAAAGTCATTTCCTTGCCAAACAGGTCAAATTTCTTGGATTCATTGTTGACAAGGATTCTTGTAAGCCTGCCCCTGAAACCATCAAGGCCATCCATGAGTTTCCACAGCCGACCAGCCTGCGTGCTTTGTTGCGCTTCATTGGTCTGGCTTCTTATGTCCGTCAGTATATTCCCAACTTTGCTGTCCTGGAACGTTGCCTCCGCAGTACTGCACGTCTGGCCAACCAGCCCCTGCATTGGACTCCCAATGCTACCAAGGCATTTCAACAAGTCAAAGCCGCCATCACTGCAGGCACCATGCTACGCCGTTTTGACCCCAATATGTATACTGAGGTACACTGTGATGCCTCCAAAACTACACTTGGCGCAGTGTTGCTGCAGGGTACTGACCCCAACAATCTTCATGTGCTGGAGTATGCCAGCAAAACCCTGCAACCTGCCCAAACCCGAGTTGCGCTTCATTGGTCTGGCTTCTTATGTCCGTCAGTATATTCCCAACTTTGCTGTCCTGGAACGTTGCCTCCGCAGTACTGCACGTCTGGCCAACCAGCCCCTGCATTGGACTCCCAATGCTACCAAGGCATTTCAACAAGTCAAAGCCGCCATCACTGCAGGCACCATGCTACGCCGTTTTGACCCCAATATGTATACTGAGGTACACTGTGACGCCTCCAAAACTACACTTGGCGCAGTGTTGCTGCAGGGTACTGACCCCAACAACCTTCATGTGCTGGAGTATGCCAGCAAAACCCTGCAACCTGCCCAAACCCGCTACTCCAATTCCGAGCGGGAGCTTTATGCCATTCGCTGGGCAGTTACCGAAAAATTTCGCCCCTACCTTGAGGGACGTGCCTTCACCGTGGCTACAGACCATCAAGCATTGTTGCATGAACTACGCCTCAAGGAGCCATCCCGTCGCATGGTCTACTTCCTCCTCCAGCTTGCCAGCTACAATTACACCCTACGGCACATCAAGGGAACTGCCAACTGCGCTGCTGATGCCCTCAGTCGGGCCATAGTACCCTTGGAGAATGCTGGCTCTTCCACCACCCTAGCCTCCTTGGATGGGTCTGCCGCCTTACCAGTCCCGCCAAACCACAACCATTCTGCTTCTTCATTGCAGCTCTGTGCTGTCCAGAACACACGCAAAACCATCCTCAATCGCCACCAGCAAAGCTGCCTTATTAATCAGTGCCATCACCAACTGGGTCATGCCGGCTGGAAACCTGTATTCTGCACCCTCCGTCACCGTTTTTTCTGGCCTCAGATGCGGCAAGCAGTTTTTCAACAGTTGCGCTTCTGCAAGCCATGCATCCGGTACAATGCCCCTACTACTGCTGTGGGCACTGCCTTACAACCCCTCCATTCCACACACCCACGGCATATCTTGTGCATTGACGTTGTGCCTATGCCACAGGCTGGAGAACTCAAGTACATCTTCCTTGCTGTGGACCATTTTTCCAAATTTGCTATTGCCCAGCCTTCCACCTCTGCTACTGCTTCTGGCATTGTTTGTTTCCTTCATTCTGTCTTTCATCAACTTGGACCTTTTGAAATTCTTCTCTCTGACCCTGGTCCCCAGTTTCGTTCTCGACTCCTTGCAAATTTTTTACTCCACACAAATGTGCAACACACCCTTACTGGTGCTCGACATTTTGAGGGCAATGGTTGCTTAGAACGTTTGGTGCGGACTCTTCAGGAAATTTTGGCCAAACTTGGGGCACAGAATCATAATTGGCCATCTTATCTGCCTGCTGCTCTCCAAGGTTACAATGCTCGCCCTCATTCCACCACTGCCACGGAACCCGCTGCTGCTTTTTTTGGAACCCCAATTCATTTGCCTCTGGACAAGCATTTTCAAACACATGGGCCATTGCCAGCCTCCCACAATCAGCTGCTCCACCATCGACATCAGCAGACAGCCAGCTGGCAAAGGGCCTCTGCTCGTCACCGTCCCAGGATTTTCACCCCTGGCCAGACTGTGCTGCATTGTCCTCGGCGCCCATCCACCATGCGCCATGCTCGTGGTCGCCGTTTTTTACCCAAACGTCTGGGCCCATACATTATTCTTGAACCTTACCCCCGCCAACGTTATCTCTGTACTGATGGGGTTACCCAACTGTTGCTTCCCGCCTGGGAACTCCACTCTTTTAAACCACCTTAATTCCCCATAATCCCTTATTGTTGCTCCTCTTCAAAAAATGGGGGAGAGTTAGGGTAGAGGACTAGTGAAGGTTAATCAATCTCTTATAGTAGTCAGTGAACAGACTATGATCTAAGAATATATGTGTATCTAATCCCCTAGACCAATTATTATCATTATTATATGCTCTGAAAAATCAAAGAAGCGGCCAAAATTCAGTCCTTCACTCAGTGGTAAGCATGTAGCGTCACGCGAAACCCACATTTGTAAAGATACATTTTTTCCAGAATATTCTCTGGGTGCCATAATTACTGATTACTCCTGTCAGTATTTTCATTTCAAGCATTTCAGCCCTTTTATCTCTGAATTAAAGCATTTTCAATACATGATGAAACATTTTATTCGTTCACCTATAAGGATGAGTCAAAATTTCCTGATATTTTTTTTTTTGTCGTGGAAGGACATCTTTAAAAAAAAAATTCAGAAAGCATTTGGCTGTTCCTATATTCCTTCCTTTTTCGAACACAAATTTCTTATGAGATATTTCCTTAAATAATTTTATGTAATTCTGAAAATATTAACAATAAGCATTTAAGCGAGGTGAAATTGTAAATGATATATTTGCAGGTGGCCAAGGGTAGAGGACTAGTGAAGGTTAATCAATCTCTTATAGTAGTCAGTGAACAGACTATGATCTAAGAATATATGTGTATCTAATCCCCTAGACCAATTATTATCATTATTGTTTCTTGCAGTTTTGTATCAGCTTTTCAATGACAGAACACAATTGCAAGATCAGGTTTGATGACTTCCCTTTTTTTATTCAAGAGACTATTCCAGTTTTTGAGATACTCTTCGCACTTAAATTCAAAAATATGATTTTTTATTATCCTGACCAGGGGCATGCGATTCTGAGAAAAACCTAAGTGTGTATTGCTTGAAATATGCCCTTCTGATTTTGGCCTATTTTTCATGAAAGACAGGAATTATTTTTGTCGCACTGAGTGAGTTTGCACTAAATTGGGGTTTCCCTTGAGAATGCAATTGAGGGGGATTTGTTCCCGTGAAATTTGGGGCACTAAATCAAAGATTGACAGTAATTTATTGATAGACCTCCCACAAACTCAACAATAATGCTGAAATTCAAGAGCTATTTTTCAATTGAAATTAGTCTCAACGCACATACTGCATGTACTACCGATTGGTATGCGAAGAGTGGCTTATACAGTCCATGGAAATCATGAACCGGAAGTACAGTTATTGAACCGGTTGCTCGTTTATGATGCTGGCATCAGATGCAAATTTGTTGAAGTGCTCATCCGAATTTCCTCCGCGATAATACTTTATGTAGCTATCGTATTCACTCGAGTACTGAGATGCAAATTGTGCGAGGGGTCAAACAAAAGTTCTCGGAATAGAAATTAAAAATAGCGTATAATTGAGCTGGAAAAAAGTATTCTTCAGGGAAAACATATTCTTTGGTGCAAGAAAAAAAGCAGCTCTGTTTGACAATTTTTTTGAATGTTTTGCAAAATTCACCCCGGCAGAGTTTTGCTCTCCACTCAGAAGATGAGGCGCACTTCCTGAAGATTTTGTTGTTGTAGCCAAGCTTTCCTTTCAGAATTCTTGAAATCAACGTGGAATTAATTCCAACGGTTGCCTCCAGGTATTTCAAGGTAATTCCGCCATTTTCATATGTGACGGCTGTTGATGAAAATGGCAGAATTCTGACAGGAAAGCTGGGCTACAACAAAATAAACAGCAGGAAGGGCGTCTCAGTTTTTGAGTGGAGAGCAAAACTCTCCCAGGGTGAATTTTGCGAAACATTCAAAAAAATTTGTCAAACAGGGCTAATTTTTTTTTGTGCCGAAGAATATGTTTTCCCCAAAGAATCATTTTTTGAGCTCAATTATTAGCCATTTTAATTTGTATTCCGAAAACTTTTGTTAGAACCCTCGTATACACGTTATTTAGGCGTGAGCAAGTAATATGCAGGGTTAGTTGCTTGAAGCACCGGTTTGTCCACTGCAGTTCGGCGACCATTTCTTTGAACGATTCATGAAGTACTGTCAATTATTCTTAAAAAGTTTCGAAGCATGAATTATGTATCACTTGTAGAGCCTTCAACATCCAGGCTTTGATGAATCGTGGCTGAATTTCAATCGAGGCAATCAGAAATCCAGAGCAAACTAATATAAACAGGATGACGTACGATTCGTTTCAGGACATGATGGCTTGTTACGCGTGGAATTTTCACTCTTATTTGAATCTCGGGTAGGATTAATAAATGATAAATTTTTATAGCGACGAAAATGGAGAGAAAGTAGATTTCCCAAACTTTAAGATCGACTTAAATGCATGAAGAAAATCCATCGTTTTGCAGATCAAAAAGACATAAATAACAAAAAGGGTAATTATGGTAGCCAAGAATTGAAGACAGGATTTAAAGGAATGTACTTCAACTGGGATTCTTTGTTGAGGTGAGATTTTTTCTGACAATTCATGATGAAGAATTCGCATCAATGGTCAAATGCATTTCGGAATAAACTTATGTGATTAAGATTTTTTTCCCAAATACTCTACCAAACTTGTAAATTGAAGGAAGGTCCGCTGAAATATTCTTGTCAACATTGTGTCTTGCCCACAGTTACGTAGACTCCAACCTTGGAGTGGCAACAACTACAAGGATTGTGAAGACTTGAGCCTTCTCTGGTGGATTTTCACCTGGGCTGTCCAAGGTTTACCCCTCCTATGTGCATTTGCCATCCATCATTCATCCTGAGGCAATTGTCAGAATGTGTGTTATGAAAAGTTAGCCGGAGTGTGAATATTGAGTACTCAAATGATCTGGTGACTTTACAACTACATTTACGAGATTTTATTCAGATATATGTTCAGCATCTTGTACTAGTAAATCTCTGGAAGTTATAATCCATGATGTCTCTGTACACATCGGCTGGAGCGAAAGCCCAAGCCCGACCATGAAGCGCGAAAAGAATTGCGTTGGCCGGGAGTCGAACCCGGGTCAACTGCTTGGAAGGCAGCTATGCTAACCGCTATACCACCAACGCCTGTTGATGCCAGGAGGACTTCTGAGACTTTGTCAATACAGTACTGTAGTTTACTTCCTTCCCGTTACTTCATCGTCTTCATTCATACAGGGAAAAGAAAATCTGGAGAATGTGGCCATGCGAACAACAAGAAGAAAGAGTTGGGAATCCGGTGGTGTGATGACAGAAGAAGCGCATTCACTCCATACAGGGTGAGAAATTCTGAAAATGTTGGTCCTGAAGAGTGTTATGCTGTTTTTTCTCTTATTGGGCCATGTGGGCATGCCGGAATACTGATTTAGGATTGAGTCCATGTTTGTAATACAGGGTCCGATATTTTTAAAAATCACAATAACCGTTACGAAGTATACTTCCAATTTTTCTTCGCGGCTACTTATTCTTGATGGACTTGCCGAGAGTTCCTCGTAATACCGAACCATTATTTTGTGGTATCCATCAAAACCTTCTTTTTTTTCTGCAGTACGTGCTCAAGTTTAATTTTCATCATGCCGTTCAATTGTAGATATTAAAAAGTTCAGAACGATTCGAATGTGTTCGTCTTTGTCGGATGATAATTCCGAAATCGTTCATTGAGCTATTAATTGCTTCAACACACCCACGCCCTCTCTTATTCTGAAGATTTCGGGCACTTGTTGACCTGGATCCCTTACCCTGGAAAGAAAACCGCCTGAGAAAGTCTCATATGAGCCTGACTTACCGAAGTATAAACTGAACCAACCAAAATGCAATACTGTACAGCAATGTTCCCCAACCCGTGGTCCGCTGGAAATTTCCTGCAGCATAATAAATCGAAAAAAATGTAGCAATCGACCTGTTGTCTTCATCTGAAACATCAGAAAAACTGTAGCTGAAATTATATGAAAAAACAACATAAGTTGGCTTTTCTGTCAATTAAACTTTAGACAGATTTCCACATGCTGAAATAAATTATTTTACTTTTCCAGTCTGAGAAAGCTTTATTCAAGCCCACCTCTCTAATTCTTTGAAAACATCCCAATATGGAGTCTATGTACATATACTGTATATGCGAGGGTTGTTTCATAAGTCTTGCGACTATTTCAAATAGATCCAACATGGTTTGGTCAAATAAAATTAAAAAAAAAACGCACACACTTCAGTGCTGTTCAATATACATCTCTCCAACAATTTCAATGCACTTTTTCATGCGATAAATCCAACCTTCAAAACAGTGGCAAAAATTGAGTTCAGACTGAAATTTTCCTGGGGCCACTGTTTTGATTGTTGGACTCATCGCATGAAAAAGTGCAAAATTGGCAGAGAGTATGCGGAACAGCACTGAAGTGTTGCTGTCTGACCATCTAAGCCTGCTTCATTGGATCTCAATTTTTTTTTAAGCAGAAACTTTTTAAATGCTTGCATAAAGCTTCCAAGTAGAACTTTTGATTCTTCAGAAGTCTTGCCGGTCTGCAGAAAATTTTTAGGAAATTTGCCGGTCCGCAAAAAATAAGGCAATTTGCCGGTCCGTGGGTCCAAAAAGGTTGGGGAACACTGCTGTACATTACCTCAGTTCCTTAAATGAACGAAATAAAACATTCAGCGTAAAAATGCGGCCCCGAGATGTGGACGTAATTGATGGTCAATGCTGGTCCTTTCCCTTATGTTGGATCGTCTGAAGCATGTGTCAGATCACCTTTTCCTTCAGACTTCAATGGGGATATGTTTAATTGGTTCTCCTGTTGATCAAAAATTAGGAAAAAGCCCCCCCCCCCCTCATTGAATCAAATAATTTGTCTCAACTTGAAGATATAGTACAGGGAACAACAGTGCAAAATAAAACGACACATTATGATCTTCTGGCATGAAATGCAGCCAAAAAAGCAGCAAGCAATCACCATGAAGTATTCCTATATACTGTGCTCAGATATTGGAAATAACTCTGAAAAGAGAAGCACAAAATTGGCCTGTTCTGCATTATGAATTATGGTGAATTTACAATAAACTTGTAATTTTTGTGAATATAAAGCTCAATTTGTTCGAGAAATAAGAAATTTGTTCCAAATAAATGTTCCCATTTGTCTTGAAATTTTAGGAAACATCTGTATCTCTAGATATTTGCTAGATGTCAATTGTTGCAAACAAAATTTTATTGCAGTCTCTTCAAGTCAAATTTTCTGTACACTGGACTTTTGGTTAACAAACTTAGTTGGTTCCAGACAAAAGTTTCTCAGCCAAAAAGCTTGTTAGCTGAAAAGTTGGTTAACAAAATATGATTTCCCCATAGATGTCAATGGGGAAGAATTTAACCTGTTCTGTGAACCAAAAAGACAAATGAACATGGAATGAAAAAAGGTAGGCCATCAACTATAATCAGAATAAATTATTGCTGCATATTAAATGTGGCCCACAATGTTTTTACAGTGTTATATGGAAGTAGCACTGATGAAAACAACAGTAAAAAAAAAGTTCAACATCCAAAGAAACACACACTGAAGGACCCATGTCAAGATGAAATTGAAATTTCTTCTTTCAATGCTGCAAGTAAAGATAAATAGGTATTTCTAACAATTGAACAAATAGAAAAACCGAACACAGAAAAGGAAATAAATCTGTCACAGAAGAGCATATGAATAATGTAGCTGAAAATATTTTAAAACACAAGATATTCAAGTACCATCAGAAGGGGAATATCTCCATATTGGTGCATTGGTGATTTATTTGCACTTTGATTGTATTGTACCAAAAATTCAGCCACAAAATCACATTTTAAATGTTCCAATTTGGAATTTTTCCCTGGAAAAAAGTTTGTCTGCCAAATTTTTGTTTGTGAACTAAGGGACTTTCCTTCGAAATTAAAAGTTTTGTAAAAAAAATAGTGTGTGAACCAAGTGGTTTGTTTACCAAGGGTCCACTATATTTTTAAGTGTCCCCATGTCAGGCCGCCTGCTATATTTTGTGTTGATCAGTAGCAGCAACGCCTGCGAGTTATTTAAAAAAAAAAGTGCAATGAATCCGGTAACAAGAGGGTGCTTAATTGAATCCAAGACTCATCTTTCAATCAATTTCTTGCACAGGCTTCTACCACGTTGACGAACCTGTCTCGGGGTAACGTCAAAACGCACGTACAAGAAGTCACCCCCGATGAAGTGAGTCTATTCCAGTTGGCAGCCCAAGGCGAGCTAACCGCCGAATCCCTGGCCAGTGGCACTGAGGGCGAAGTGGACTTGACAGCTGGAGACGATCAAGGACTCACTTTACTCATGTGGGCTGCGGCTCACGGGCAATGCAAGACTGTGGAATTGCTGTTGGACCATGGTTCGGATCCGAATCAGGAGGGAATCGATGATTGCACCGCGCTGCTCTTGGCGGCATCTGGTGGACACAGTGAAGTTATCAAGCGTCTGTTGAGAGCCGGGGCACGATTGGATCATCACGACGAGGTTTTTCTTCGATTTGACTCATTTCAGTTTCTTTTTTGTTTACGCGAATGGGAAGCGTCTAGAATAATTGACAGAAATTCTTGTCTGTGGAATCGTTCTGAATGGAAAGTTGCTAAGTCGTTTAATTATGCGCAATACAGTTGAACCTCGATCCCTCCAACCTCCCTGAGTCGATTTTTCAATTTTTTCATTCTTTTATGTCTCTGTCTGAATTCCTATTGAAACAATGCGTTAGGAACCGCCCCAACTGGAAAGCTTTTCTCTCAAACCTTTGTAAATAATATTTTCTGGAGACCTTTTAGGCCATTATTTTATGGAGAAACGGAAGAGAAAAGTAATAGAAATGTGTCTTGATGTGTTTTGAAAGGTAGCGAGAAACTGATCGGGCAACTGAACCCTTGCATCCAAGTTCAGCATCCTGTCAACTCATTAAAAGAAGCCATAGGCCTAGAATATCACCCAAAAAAATGTCCAGTAATTCTCCTTTCTTTACCTTAACACCAGTGCTTGTTGCCCTACTTTGAAACCACTCTTAATTCATTTTGTTTTGCTGGTCCGTTGAAGTTTGACTGAGACAGGTTTCACTATACAGTATTTTACAATCACTGTAGTCCTGCTGTGGAACCATCTGTTCTAAGCATAAATTCAGGCATGTGCTTCGTCAGAAAGAAGAAGATGCATATAAGATTTCGCGTTCTTATTTCGATATTTTTGCATAGAATTGGAACACGGCGTTGATGTACGCGTGTTACAATGACCATGCGATGGCAGTTCACGAGCTCCTGAGTGCCGGTGCTGATTTCACTGTTGAAAATCTCTGTGAAGACACTGCGTTGAGTCTGTGTGTTAAGCGACAAGCCTTAGCTGGTGAGACTTTCAATTCATCTTCACGTGTTGCAAGTTCTAAAGGATTTTAATCCGATTTCAACAGCGAAAAGTGTGGTTGAGAAATACTTCTTGAAGGTGCTCTCTGGCCGACTTCATGCCTCATTTCCGCTTGTGGGCCGAGGAGATTTCAACCGTTCTCAGCAGCAGTAATGGATAGTGTGATACCGTGATGATTTTTTGCTGGGCTTTCGATTGATTTTTGCCGTAGTTGAGCGTTTTTGTGTGTTCATTCATTTTTTTTTCGTGAGGATAATTGTGTGCATGTTGTTGACGATAGAGTTCGGGAATTTTCGTAAACCTTTGTCATCGTTTATGAACAGAAGAAAATGGTGTATTATTTTCGAAATTACGTTGTGATCTGAGTGACGTGATTTTGTCTAAACTTCGCAAGTGAAGTCTTCAGGTATTTCATGTAAGTTTTCTTCAGGCTTCCGTAAGAATGACGGAAAATGTTCTCAATCTATTGACCTCTTCTAGAAAAAAAGTGAAGACTCTTCCTCGGGAATGCGAATGTTTCTGATCATTCAATCTCCTTTTTTTGTCCTCGAAGTTTAGAAAATTCTCTCTCGTTGTATCCAAGCTATTGCTTTAATTTGAATATTCCAATCCATTGTTTCGAAGTGTTTCCGTTTGTTACATGTTGTTGCGTTTTGTATGTCCTTGGAGTGTCCAAAAGCGTTTCTATGCCTAAAAAAAAAAAACTGTAATTGTTTTCATGTGTTCTCAATCTCGAACGAACCGCGCGCGGGAGTACGTCTAACTAGATGGTGATTTTTCATAATATGTTTTGAATGATTGCCGTGTTTATAACGTAAATGCAGGATAATTCGTCTTCTTGCGAGGAACTCCACGAATTTAACTCAATTATCGAGAGCATACCTGCGCGGGGGGATCATACTTCAGCAATTCACTCGGTAAAGTGACTCAGCAGCAAAGTTTAAGTGAATGGCTCTGTGTAGAATGCCAAAATTTAAATGCATTATTCATGAGAGAAAATTACTACAGTGATTATGAACATGCGGGGTAACTGAAACCAGTTTTCTCTACTGTATTGAAGTTCAATTCTCTGTCAACAAAATTTTAAAGATGAAACGAAGATTCATAGTGGTTCTTCATGTATATACAGTATTAGCTGATGCATTGACGCAAAGTTCAAGAATTTCCATCTGACGGATGTCGCTTTGATCTAAGTCGAAGAGAGTCCGTTTGTATAGAAGTGAGGACTTCATCTTTTTGAAAGTTTCTCGTGGAAGATTTTCAGTCGACGCTTTCTACGATTTTAGAAATACCTGACTTTTCGGAAGTGATGGCCGGCGTGCGCAGCGGCTTGTACTCGCGCTACCTCAAAATGCTGGAAAAGTGGCCCTTGGACGAATCCAAACGTGGTCGTGATCTCGCCGAAGTGCTTCGTTCCCGCGTGACGAATGCGTTTTCCGGCGCCGGCGCCACTGAAGATCCGTTGGTGGCAGGCGGCGACGCCTATTTGCGGTGTCTGATGCGAATTGCCACCAATGTGCATCGCGACGCCAATCGGCGTGTCCGTGACACGTCTGCGTCTGGCTTCAATTTTGACGAATGTCACGCTGTCGTGTCCAACGAGGCCATGAAGCTGTACCAGAGCAGCGAAGAATCCTCCACGTCATCAGTGTTGAATAAGTTTGTGAGTGGGCTGAAGAAGGAAGATTCTGCCCATCAAGAGAAAGTGTGATTCGTTACAGAACGTTTGTTTTAGTCAATGCAAGTCCCTGTTCGTTTTTTAAAATGCATTTCGTTAGACGCTGCCCTTTGTCACGCTGTTCTTTCCTTTTTCTTCGTGTGTGAAAATCGGTTTCCGTCCTGGTTGGCGATCTACCACGTTAAAGCGCAACATGTATTTGATCTTATCGGAAAACCGTGATCGACTGCTCAGAATAGTGTGTTTTCGTAAAGCTGAACAAAGTTGAAAGTAATGAACGTTGCCAGTCCTTGACGAACCCGTGATGAGGTTTGCTATGCCCTTCTTTCTTTTTGAGAAATGTTGGAAGATCTCGTATTTCCAGTTATTTTCTACAACTTAATAGAACATACAGTATATTTAGTTTACTTTTCGAACGCTCGTGTGATAGACTCATAAACGTCGCGGTCTCTTTTCCAAAAAGTGTTACGAAAGAAAGCCTATAAATGCATCGAAACCTAATGTAAAATTAGAAATTTTGATTGAGTGTTTCTTTGATTCACCTGCTAGTCTTAGCCACAAACTCAGCATCGAAGCCAATATCTTGGTTGATGGACCAATCAGAATAATTGGTACCGTGTTAGTAGTTTTGTTTTCAATTTTTGGTCGAGCACTGGTGAGAAAAGGTGTCTGAAAATCGTGCCAGGTCTCATTTTTCATATGGTTGTGAATTTAAGTCTTGCCATATTCTAAAAAAAAGCATGTCTTGAATGATCTGACGAAGTCCAGTGTGCTTCGTGATCCTATCTTACGCATCTTCTTATTTCCGTAGCGTGGATCGCAGTTCTCGTGGTTGGTTGTGTACCTGAACATTTGTTCAATTGCTGAGCGCATGTATGACGCGGGTAGATCGCTGACTATAAACATCACTGGAAATTATGAATCTATTTTCTCAACAGTTCAGTGATTTTGCCTTTCTGCACATTGCCCGCATTCGGAAAAAGGAATAATTCGAAATGCCTCGCGTTGGTCAAACGCGCGCAGTCGTTATCATGGGAGAAGCGTCGGAATCAGACGACGATGACGTCGCAGATCAAGCTCAGATTCCTCCAAAAAATGCCAACGATTTGAATTCTGCGAGTAAAGAAGTGGTATCCTCGTCTTCGCGAAAGCCAGAAGCATCCGTTGATCATGTTGAGGCAAAATCTCATGGTGCAGGTAAAAAAAGAAAAAAAGAAAAGATGATGATAATTAGGAACTGAGTACAGATATTCTCTCGTTTTCTAAATTCTAATGATCCTGAAAGTTACCGATTGTGTTCTAGGTGAAGAGAAGCAAAAAGCGAGTGGTGTGCGGGATGAGAAGAGGCGTTCCTTTGTTCCGAACAAGTATGCAGATAGCAAACCAAAGTACAACTCACTCCTTCACAAGAAGCTTCGTGAGTAAAACTGAGATAGTTTTTTCTCTGATGGGCTATGCATTTCTCCCCTGTGTGACGTTGTACTTCAGGCCATCCACATTCAGCATCTTCAAAAATATTCAAATCTCAACAAGTTTGTTATGCCTTACTCGAAAATTTGTTGTAAAATTTTTTTTTATCATGAAACATATTTCATGGGCGCGTTATTTCCGATCCTGGACTCAGTCATTGAAAGGTCGGCGGGTTTTGCTGGTTGTAATCACATGTTAGAACCAGCAAAATGATGTCACAGATTAGATTTAAACTCGGTGTCCCTAATTCATCCTATTTCAGTGAAAGAAGATCTCGGAAGGATTGAAAATGATACCAGTAAAATGCCATCCTTTTCGTAAATGTCCTGATGACCGAGACTGAGAGACCGTCAAAACTTATGAGTTATGTCCGCGGGGTGAAGCAGCGTTTGTTTCTGTTCCGAATGCTGCAGTTTTACATCATTCATGGGTACTTGATCGTATATGAATCATTGTTTCTTCCGAAGGAGATAAATGCTTGCAAGTCAAGAAAGACGTTGTGAGTTTGGCCTCGGCGCCGTTTCTGAACGCGCAGAAAACGTTGGCCGAGGTGAACCAGGATGTGATGAAAGACCAGTTGATAGTGCAAGATGCCGCGGCAGTGTTGCGCACAGTGTCTGATCGTTTGTACCAGCTCAGTGAGTTGACGAACGCGATTCCTCCGCTGCGATACGTCGGCATCCCTGCTGATGCTGGGGGTCCTTCAATGAGGACCGGTGATGAAAATGTCGGGTGATTTCATATGGAGTGGTATTCCGATTTACATTGTTAACGCGTTGACCTTTATAAAGTTGCCGTTTTTTATTGTTCATCGTTCTTTTCATTATGAAAGAAACCGTTGTATTCCTATTCAAACTTTTTTTTTCCGCTGCAGCATACGCTTATTTGAAGGCAGGATAAATTATTTCTTCAAGGATGTCCGTTGGTTATTTGACTGTTTCACATCAAAACGAAATGATGGAGTAACGTGTAACTGTCAGAGAAAAAAGAACTCTCAGAGCAGTGAATAATATATGTGTGTCAGAAGTATGTTTTCAAAACGTACGCCTTCGATGTAGAAGATTTGGAAAGGGATAGCAGTCGGTGTTATGCGTTAGCATTACGTTGCTCTACTTGAGGGCAGATGGAAGAGATTTCGAATTCGAAAGCTGTTCAAAATGTATCACAGTGAAACTTGCATTATCTTGAGTCATGTTCGAATGCCTTCTGGGCTTCTGATGAGTGCAAGAAATGATGTGTAAAATGATGGTCTTACGTTAAAATGGTTTGAGAAAATGTTGGCAATCTTCAAATACTGTACAAGGGTGATACGTTTCCTAAATTTACCTTAAAATGAAAAAAGATATAAGCGGAGGAAGAAGTGTGAGATTTTAAGACGTCCAGTTGTGAAACACGATAAGGATTTCTTCAGGTCCGAAATGTATGAGGAAGGATATCCGAGCTCATGATTAAAAAAGGATAAAGAAGATTCTACCGTTAATCGCAAGTCTTCATGCAGTTTTCACGTAACTCTTGTGTGTGAAGTGTGTGCGAAAATATTAAATTTTGGTGTTTCTCTTCCTTCCGCCATTTTCTACTCGTGAAATTTCATCGCCACACGGCGCACGGGTCGGATTATTCAATGAGTTCGAAAAGATTAGAACATTTTTGCATAAATTTAACTTCATGGAAGTGTCTTGGGAGTTCCGGGAGCTTGATTCAAGTTGCAGAGTTCATTTTTCGTTTCTCTAGTGTAAATTCTGAGAAAAAATCTGGGAACGCTAGTATAGCTTCCGTCAGTATTTTCTTCCTCACTTCTTTGAATTTCCACAATTGATAGACCTTAACCGGAATCCTCCGTTTAATGCGTTGAAGTGGGTGAGAAAAACCTTGCAGGACTTGCTAGAGTTTTCGTTACGATTTAATCCAGTGTTTTTATCGCAAAATCTCGGGTATTAACCATGTTTCTAGAGCTTCTCAACTCAGCTCACCGGAGCCCTTTTGTTGTGCCTATTGTTCCCTTGCGCAATGCACAGTGTGATTCGAAAAAATCAGGTAAAGCTTTTGAATCCTTACATAGTTCTGATGCTCACAGAAATTTGTGTGTGGCACACCCAAGCAATGTCTCTGATGCTTCGCTTTTGTCGCTCGACGAATGAATAAATTTAGAATATCGTAAATATGTTTTCGAGGTTCTTTGCGAGTCACCTATTTCAGTATTGGGCATGAACAGCATATGAAGATCTTGATTATGAAATAATTATTCGTATCGGGTTAAATCATTGTTCCCGGGTATTCAAAAATCACTACGATTTCTCTGAAGATCATATATTTTTTGGACGTATTCGAGTTCCATCGAAGGATCGTACGAGATTCCATCATTAAGAAAAGCGGATGTGGCGAACAAATGGTAGTCTCATTGAAAGTTGCATCCCGATATTTTTCCCCTCGGGAAGTCATGCAGCGATGAAATTTGAGAGCGCAATATCCTGCATGTGCTTTGTGAATTGGAGCGATTGTTCAATTTTTGCGCTTCAGCATCACCTGAATAACTTTTCCAGCTCTGTCGTGAGAAGAAATCGCTTGAATGAATGTATTGAAAATCTGAACTATTCAGAAATCCTAGTGCTTTCCCACGAACGGAAATTTGCTACATTTATCCGAATTACGGGATCATGAAATGTCGATATCAAGAAACTTCCGTGTACTGCATTGTTACGAATTAACGATGTATCAAGTATCATTCATGTCAGAATCAGACATTTGAGTACGCTTTAATTTCACTGAATGAGAACATCAGGATTTTCGGAGCACAGTATCAAGTTCACTTCGTACAGTGAAGAAGAAACGCTCTTAAATTTAATATGCCTCGTGTAGAATTCAAACGTTCTCGAAATATTGAAATCGTTGGAAAAATAGAAAACGTTCATAGCCTATCGTCAAAAGATACGAACAACTCGCACACAGATGGAAATGGCGATTCGAATGGCAGCGATGAAAAGGAAAAGCCTAAAGACGAGAAGCCGTCTAAGGAGGAAAAGCCGCCGAAAGCGAAGAGTTCTGGCGGATCCGGGAAAGTCGTTTTCGGCAGCCCCACGTACTTGATGTACTGCGGAATTGGTGGTATTCTCAGTTGTGGCATAACCCACACGATGGTCGTGCCTTTGGATCTCGTCAAGTGTCGCCTTCAAGTGGATTCCGAGAAGTACAAGAACATTTTCCACGGTTTCCGTGTGACGGTGCAGGAAGAAGGTTACGTAGGTGGGTATTATATACTGTATAAGGGTTTCCTTATCCTTTTACAGTTGAACCTCGAGAACTTGAACTTCCCCTAAGTTAATTATACCACCTTGTGTCGAATTATTTCATGTCGCTGCCTGTATTTCCTTAGACATTGCATTGAAAGCCTCCCTGACTCGAAGGCTTTCCCTCTTGACCATCCGCAGCTCAAATTTCTTTGGAGATCTCTTGGTATTTCAATTGGCACAGGATGAAAGATGATGCAATAAAAATATTGATGTGTTTTAAAGGGAAGTGAACGACTTTCTGAAGGGCAACTGAACCCTTAATTGCCTTCAAGTTCAGCATCCTGATAAACTTAAGAAGTAATTCAAGACTCAGAAAATCACTGATTACCATCTCCTGTAATGCTGTAATTCTTTACCCATGAACGAAAACTGGTATTTCTGAGTAAAATCGGCTAGATTTGGTGTGACAGTAAAGCATGTTTTGTTGAGGTTCTCTTAAAAATTATTCGATGAGGGTTTTTCTGCTTAAATTTGTAAGTTCTCCCGTTCGAACCAAGTTTTACAGACTGCATCACTTGAAATGTATGAGTGATGTAATGTGATTAAATCCGGACACGAAATCGTTTACAGTTGATAAATGCATCATTATGTTTCTAATGATGGTGTTCTTTTGTTTGGTGTGTGTTATTCAACATGGCAGGACTTTCTCGCGGTTGGCTTCCGACGTTGATCGGATACTCTGTTCAGGGACTCGGGAAGTTTGGTTTTTACGAATATTTCAAAATCAAATACGGAGAATTGGTGGGTGAAGAAATTGCTTTCCTGTACAGAACATCAATTTATCTGGCTGCTTCTGCATCTGCCGAATTCATCGCCGACATCGGATTATCTCCGTTCGAAGCCATGAAGGTGAGTTCAAATAAGTTTATTCCTGAAGACGCCTTTTTTATGCTTAAAATCTGACGGGGGTGTTTTCTTCTTCCGAAAGGTACGCATTCAAACGTCTCCTGGTTTCACGTCGTCCATGATGGAATGCGCGTCGATCATATCCAAGGATGAAGGAATGGGAGGATTTTACAAGGCGTTGGTTCCTCTTTGGGGTCGCCAGATCCCTTATACCATGATGAAGGTACGGTACAATATTGTACTTGTGTATATTAAATTTTAGTTGTGAACAATCTATATGTCTGTATAGTAATCGATTTCGCTTGTTGAGAGGTTAACCTGAACAATGAGACCTCTAAAACGGGTTTTCAACGCGATTTTCGTTCCAAAAATGTGGATTACATCAGATTTGATCCATGTTTTGTATATGCTGACTGGGTTTATACCTCAATAATCAGTCCTATTAATGGAGTTTTCATTTTAATTCTTGTTGCGCTGGAATTTGCCTGCCGTTTTGATGCTCGTCTTCTTTTTTTTTCCCCTCGTGAAAAGTTTGCTTGTTTTGAGCGAACCCTGGAAGCCCTGTACAAGTACGTGGTTCCGAAGCCTCGAGAAGAATGTTCGAAATCTGAGCAGTTGGCCGTCACATTCACTGCGGGTTACATCGCTGGGGTGTTTTGTGCCATCGTTTCGCATCCAGCTGACACCGTTGTTTCCAAGCTGAACAAGGAGAAGGGAGCCAGTGCCATGGACATTGCCAAGCGTCTGGGCTGGGCAGGTAATTGAACTTGCGTACATTTTGAAATGCCATTTGTGGAATGTTAGCGATGCATTTCGCGAACGCTGGAAAAAAAATGCCGTTGTGCTCGAGCGGAACAAATTCCGAAGTCTTCTATAAGAACATTGGGTCTTCGGAATTTTTTTACCGTGGTGCGATTGAATGTTCACGAATTTGTATTGCTGTCATTGAATCCCTCCGAATTCCGTATAAGGTATCCAGGTGAACTCTCTTTACAACGAAATTCAAGGGACAAGAAAAGTGTTCGTTGTGGAGAAAGCTATGACATAGGGAATGAACCCAATAGGACCGAAAAAATTCGATATATGCAGACAATATCCTAGACCAGAACCTGCGGTTCCCAGCGAATGAATATTAATGTAATCTTGAGATTCTGCTGAAGGTGGAAATACTCCGTATCGAGAAATGAGCCCTGAACGATGCTGGACGTTTTTTTCAGATGTCAGTATTGAGCCATCGAGATAGAGAAAAATTCCTGATTTTCAATGGAATCTTCTGCGTGTGCATCCTATCCTAGTTCTGCACGTGCTTGGAGACAAGATGTGCCGGTCGATTAGGATTCGGTGGTTTTGTAATTCAGAGTTCCTCCCTATAAATTTCGGTTTCAGCATTCTTATTCGCAATTGAAGTTTTTAAAATCCGCCTAAAATCGTTTTATTCATGGGTTTATCCCTCGAACGAATCAGATTAGTCTTCGGGGATGCAAGTTATTGTTGCTGTGTGAGAATGTTAAATATTGTACTTGTTATAGCAATTTCTCTATAAGATGCTCTGTTCGTTGAACCCACGATCCTTTACGTTTTTGAATGACTACAGAGCAATTGCCTAATTTTGGATTCCATAGGAATGTGGAATGGCTTGGGCCCCAGGATTTTCATGATTGGCACTCTGACTGCCCTTCAGTGGTTCATTTACGATGCTGTGAAAGTCACCTTGGACATTCCTCGCCCCCCGCCTCCGGCTATGCCGGAGTCCCTTAAGAAGAAACTGGGTGGCGACAGCTGAGCAGTGTTTTAAGTTGTGTTCGTATTGTTGCGCCGCATCGTGTGATTCTGGTGAAAATTATGCAAATTATTATTCGCGCTTGAAGCATACATTTTCTGCTAATGAGAAAATTAAATGCAGCACGATTTAAAAAAAAAACGGAAAGCTATGGTCTGTAATTATTGACCAGAAACTATAATATGTTGAGTGTTCCACTGAAAGATTTTTACTGATCCACCAAATTTAGAAGTGGATGAACGGGGAAGATATGTAAACAGGAAAAATTGAATGCAGTTTTTCAGCGTGTATATATAGGCCTAGCTCCTGTAAGGGAATTCTTGAGATTGTAATTTGAGCATGTGAAAATTTCTGATGAAGATGCGCGTTTCACCCTTCTGTATATCTTGAGTGTCGATTTCGTGATTTGTGATGGAAGCTAATGCAACGCGAAACAAATAAGAAGGAAACGGAAGGTGATGAATGGTGTTTAAATTCGAATTCCCTGATTAAAGGAACACGACACGTGCAAACCCTTGATGGTAGAAACTCGTTTGAATGAACTCTGTTCGGAAGTGTCCCAGAATCAAGTTATTATGAAAGTGCTTCCCCTGCCCGTGATCTGCAGACTACCGCTGGTCTGCAAAAGTTTTTTGGCTGGTTCCCTGGAAATTTTCTTCAGCTTAATGAATTTATCAAAGGTGGCAATATGAAGCCTCGTATTGTCCTCAATTGAATTTTGGAAAGATAATGTCACTTGAAATTATCTGATGAATATAAATGTTGGCTCTTCCCTCTCAACCTGATAACCCTTCAGACAAATGTTCCCCTTTCTGAAATAAATTTTCTTAGTTATTCATTCTGAGAAACTTGTCAAAGTTTTGCAGGACTGTACCTGTAAGGAAAAACTTGCCTCCACTTGGGGGGTTTGATGGCACCAAATTTTAAAAGTGAAATTCCTGCATGAAGGATTGAAAAACTGTCAAGCATGTGAACCAGCTGTTCCTGACCTATATAGATTATAGAAGACATATTTCTTTGGCGTATTCTCTCAAGTTTGGGCAGATTTACTTTTGTCACTCAAAATTACATTAATGATCATATGTCATGATGGGATCAGATCCCATCATGCTAGTCAAAGAATTCATTCCCAAAGTAAAGAGCAATTCAAAGTTTGAAGCGGGAGTCTAATGCTGTCTGTGGTATTCAGATGCAGGTGCTTTCAATGCTTGTACCCCAAATCAACTCTGACTTTTTGGCTTCTTTGCAAACAACTCAATCCAGTTGAAGCCCCATACAGGAATGACAGGACCAGCTCCAGAACTTCCAGGAAGGTGACTGCACAAATTCCCAGGTACAAGCCAGTTGCTCCTCCCAGGTCACTCAGTGTCTTTGAAAGCTGAGTATAGAACAAAATACAGGGTGACAGCATGTTGAATTAAAATGAAACTCGGAACTATACAACAAGCAATAACAGCTGGCTACCCCCACATATTGAAGTCACATCTCTTTCAGATAAACTCCACATTTTGAATTGAGGCGTTTCTCATCTATATAGAGAATTCAAGAGTTGCACTACTGGAATGAAATTGCAGTACTTGGTACTGGAATATGCATAATTCCGGATCCTCTGAGCCTTAATAGCCTGTGATGTGCGTACTGTGACATAATCCAAAAGAGATGATAATTTCAACTCACATCGTATTTGACTTCTTCACTAACTGTTTCCACTTTCAGGGTTTCAAAATAAATGTTGACCCTGGCAAACTCCCGGGACAAAATGATCCGCTTCTCTTGGTCGTTCTTTGCGGTTCTGCCTGCTAATTCCGTGATGATCGTGCGGTATTTTGTGAACAATGTGTCCTGTGATAATTGAAATACTGCAGTCATGAGAACAATTTTCTTCCTCGATTTTTCATTCAATAGTTTTTCAAACTCACATAATAGACGTAAGAAGGCCATTCAGAGCTGGATGTTGTGACTTGATATAAGTTCTCACTGTATGTGACAAAAGAAGGGGGTAAAATTCTGGTAAAATTGTTTATATTTCAATGGTATGGGACCTCACCTGCAGGGTAAATTACAGGTGCAACCCAATGATGGATCCGATTCACGAGAAGCCAACACATCCGTGATGCACTCCGTTTGCACATCTGGTTAATTTTGGCTAAGTTATTCATGAATGCAACATACTCAGAAAGTTCCTTGGGGTGCACTTTGTCAATAACAATCTTGTCTAAAACAACTTTTTCTGCAAAAAGGAATATCATTGTGGGATCTTGGGGTTCTTTGTCCCCTTGGTTCATGGTGGACTTTTTATACCAGTGTTCCCCAATATTTCTGGGCCCATGATGGACCTGCAAATTTTCTATAACACTTTTTGTGAACCGCACAGTTCTCCAAAAATTTTCTGCAGACCAGCAAAGTTTAATACAATTTTTGCAGAATCAAGAAGTTTTGCTTGAAATACTTTATGGCAGGAACTTTTAAAATTGTCTGTTTTTTTAAGCAAAAATTAAGAACTATAATCAAGCAGTTAAATTGAAATGTCTTTAAAAATTGGAGAGGTGGGCTTGAGGAAAGCTCTCTCAGAATGAAACATTCCAGAAGACTATAGTAAAAACTTCTGCAGACCAATGTCAGTCTGCAGACCATTGGCAGGGGAACACTACCCTATATACAACAGAATGCAAGGTACCCAAAACACCATTGTACAGAAAATTTTGTTGTAGAATATTCCTATTATAGCATGTGGAGAAAACTCTGATGTGGGTCCAAAAAGCTTCATGCAGAAAATATCATTGTACACTTAATGGTTGGAGAGAGAGCAAGAGAGAGAGAATCAATGTGTTTGAGGGTTCTCTACTACAAAATTCTCTGCATTTCAAGGATTTTTTTGGCCTATCCTGAATTTCTGTTCCTGCAGAGTCCACATGTACCAGTAACATCAAAATGATTTCACTAGATTAAAAATTATTCAAAAGGTGTGATGAAACATGCATTTCTTGGGGACATGTTTTGCTTTTTTATCATAAAAATGCTGGTTTTTGCTGGAGGTGCATCATATACATTGTATAAGCACAATTATAGGTTCCAAAAAGTCAATTATATATGCTGCTATGCTTTCTTTTGTTATGCGAGATATTCCATGCATTTTCATTCCTTGAAAAAGGCCCTTTATTCATGAAAAATGTTTCGTCATTCACACGTGAACTGCTGATTTTTTTTTACCCATCCAAACTTAGATGAAATTTCATTGAAGAAAGAATTAGATAAAATGGGAATATCAATGATGCAACACAAATGAACAAGAAAACCAAAAGGGGAAGGCTTCTCCACATGCCTTTGTAAAACTGAGATCTGACATTTGACGCTTGTGTATATGTAGAACCACTGCATGCTAACAGGTCCATCAAATTTGAAGACAGGTTCAAGTTTGAATCATTCCAGAAAAACACAAAGGTTGGGTTTTGAGTTACTTATTCGATGAGGTGTTTGTTGAGTGAGCTATGATTTTGATGTAATTAAATCAATCAAGATGCATTGACATTATATGCCCAATAATGGCTGAAGTTGGCAAATTTTTGGCCCACGCAAACCCTGTTTTTGGAACAACTTTACTATGTGAGTTATATTTTCTGTTTATTAGCATTTAACCACGTTTTTATGAACTCACTTTCTTGTCTGTCTGTCTGTCTGTTTGTCCGGATCAAATAGATTTAAGGACAACAAGGTGTGATGGAACATGTATTTCTTGGGGAAATGTTTTGCTTGTTTATCATGAAAAATGCTGGTTTTTGCTGGAGGTGCATCATATACATTGTATAAGCACAATTATAGGTTACAAAAAGTCAATTATATATGCTGCTATGCTTTCTTTTGTTATGCGAGATATTCCATGCATTTTCATTCCTTGAAAAAGGCCCTTTATTAATGAAAATTGTTTTGTCATTCACATGTGAACTGCTAATTTTTTGACCCATCCAAACTTAGATAAAATTTCACCGAAGAAAGAATTTAATAAAATAGGAATATCACTGATGCAACACAAATGAACAAGAAAACCAAAAAGGGAAGGCTTCTCCACATGCCTTTGTAAAACTGAAATCTGACATTTGATGTATAGAACCACTGCTGACAGGTCCATCATATTTATAGACAGGTTCACGTTTGAATCATTCCAGAAAAATACACAGGTTGGGTTTTGGATTACTTATTCAATGAGGTGTTTGTTGAGTGAGCTATGATTTTGATGTAATTAAATCAATCAAGATGCATTGACGTTATATACCGTATATGCCCAATGATGGCTGAAGTTTGAAAATGGTTGGCCCACGCAAACCCTGTTTTTGGAACAACTTCACTATGTGAGTTATATTTTCTGTTTAATAGCATTTTTATGTTACTGTATTTGTTTTTGCTTGGGCCGTTCTTCAGGTTGATATTCACTGTACAGTACTGGTAAGGTAAGGCAAATTTTAAGGTGTGAATTTGATTTGAACTTTTCAGCATGATGTATATAATGATTCTAACGGATGTCACAAATTTGAGCACTAAACTGGAATTTTTCTGAGGCTCCTTTTTTCCTTATTGAATGGCATATATACAGTAATTCATCATGACATGCTGGAGATGTTCAGACCGTAGTTGGTTTTCTCCAGTGAAATCACCTGAATCAATGCAGACAGGGGTTTCAGCGTCATTCAACACCACTCCATCATAAACAATCGGTTGCGAATAATACGGGTCACTGCAATTGCACTTCTGTATCATGGCCAGCAACTCGCAAGCAAAGTTGCATTCCTTAAAATAGAAAAATAGAAATCTGGTTGATTTCGAAAGGAATTCTAATGTATTTGTCCTTTGAACTGTTCCGAGTTTAATTTTAGAAATTTGGTATTAAATGCCTGCATGCACCTCAAAAAACAAAATTATTCTGGACTTTTTCCTCAAGTAAAAAATGAATGCGCACAAAGTACAGTGAGACCCCCACATGCGGACACTTCAACCTGTGGACAATTTCTACGTAGGGACACTTATTTTTTAATAAAAATTGCCCAACATGAGGACGTACTGACTCAACATATAGGGGCATTTTGTAATAGAATTACAAATACTTGTCAAGCCAAATTACAAGAAACAGATATTTCCAACCCTAAAATTGATGT